GTTTCATTTTATTCAGCCTGAGAGCCACAAGACAATGACAGGTCTTTTTTTATCAGGTCCATTTTTATCGTGTGTGAGAACAATATTGCAAATGGACCTGGAAGGCGTGTGTTTCGTATGACCACCTTGCACCGTCCTACACTACCCAGAGAGCCTTGTCGACACACCCACCCCCGGTCACTCGCTATATCGTCCGTCACTGACCGTCACATTACCGGCCCGGTGGGCCGATCATTTCTCCGGGGAGGCAGCCCGTGCTGCCGGACGCACTAATTGATATTGGCCCGGCGGCGCCGGTCAGCAGAACGGGTCGCCTATGCTCGCAGCTGCCAGAGGGAGGAAACTGGCTCACTCGCTAGTGACGTACATTTGACTACAGAATGATGTTTCACTCTTCACAGACCATTATTTGCCTGGAGTGGTAGGCTGTGCCGCATCACACTGGCTGAGCTCACAAATTATAGCTTGGACCCATTGCTTACAACTTAGCGCTCCGGTCAACTGATAGCTTCTGACGAGTGGAACATCATTCTGTAGTCAACTGTACATACCTACATCCTACATGCCTGTGATCAGCTTATTACCTAGATGATTTTGTCATGTGTTTTAGGCTTTAGCATAGATTCGTGACTTCATTGTCATTTGCCGTAGGCGAGCTATGGTGTGATTTCAGTCTATTAACTGGCCTCGGTTCACCGTTTCTGCTGATGAAGAGAAGGCCGTGTAAGGTCAGAGCCAACTTCCTGCCGATACCACTAGCCTTAGGTGCAGCTTCCTATGAGATCAGGTGGGCCTATGAGATCGGCAAGGCATGTGTGAGGTATCGACCTATTGCGGCACCCATTTATAACTTGGGTATCAAAATAAACCATTAAATTTGCATGACCAGACAACCCCTTCACTGACACCTGAGGCCTGTCAAGGGGCGAGCCTCGACGAATCCGCCTTCCCTGTAACCCTAAGCTTGACCGATGTTTGCTTCAGATTCATATGCTGGCTTATGTTGAAGGGGCTAAGCACACATTAGACTTGACAGTTACAGAATGAGAGATAGCTCAACCACAGTACAAATGACAATCTAAGCAAGGGAAATGGCATCCAAATAGCCTTGTAGAAGCATCTGTAAGTGCATTTCTTTAGTGTTTACAGCACAAGTGTTTGTCTCAGTCAGCAGACTGTTTTTAGTCTGTGTTGTTTTTGGTAACACTGCGCGGTTGTAGGGACATTGTTCGCGGCAACACCAGCACCCAGTACCATCTCATGCTGGTTCTGAAAATCTGAATCTGTTTTTAGCATCAGGCTCGGGTCCGTAAAGCTATTTTCTTTTCCTCGACTCTTACATTAACCTTTTTCCCGTTATTCAGCTCTTCTTAATTTGGTATGAAATTGAACACGACGAACATTGAACATAACGTAGCTATTTTATTATATTTATCGTAGATTCGCATTGAACGCCCGCTGTATCCATTTCCACAGAAGTCACTGGTTTGGGAAGTCAGAGGGCATGTTTTGCCTACCGGTACTCCACCCATTGCATTGCCATAAGGCGTATGACCTTCTTGTGTTCCCGAATGGACGTAGTACCCGGTTTCACTCGACTCCGGTCGACAAACCACGTCTCGGGACGCAGGCTGGCGCCGGTCGTGGGGCCCATCTCGGCACATCAAGTGCAGTTCCGACTCCTCAGACCGATAATGGCCCGGTATCAGTCAGCGAACTGTTCTCGCCGCCCTCGCGAGAGAGAGAGAGACTCGAGGGGACCGGTCACGGTAGCGCTGGGCAGGGAAGATGGGACTCTGAATGACGGTCTGTGAGCTACAAAAGTGTACGAGTATACGCTACGTTCCGCTGGGTTACAAGGACTTTGGCAGGGCAACCTATGGGTAATGGCTGTTCTTATAATGATTGTGATGATGAAGGGACGGTGATGATCGTGAGGATGGTAGCGGTGACGGAGAGTGATAGGAACGTTTGTGTAGAGTAAATGGGCAAGGGACGCGAAATGGTCTTGATTCATCACTTCCACGTCACGCTGTGATGGTTGCCACCTGACGTTGAAGCCGCCCCGGGACCCGCTCCGCAGCTTCGAGTTGCATTCGAGTTGCATTTGACCTCTCGCCCGCCTGCACCGTTGATTGTCCCGTCATACCTAACCCAGCACCAGCCCCATTGGAATACAGACATATGTATTTGCTGAGCGTTAGGGAAAGGGGAGGGGGATAAAGTTGAGTTTCTGGTCTCAAAGCTTGTATCGCTACCGGAGACCATCGAATCTTTATCAAGTCGTCTCATCGTCTCATTGGCGCCTGACTAATCACTCGTCTAGACTGAGTACTGCGTACGCCTACGGGTCTATCGCATGTCTAGACTCCTTGCCTGTCTAACTTGGTGTGGCAAGTGTGCTCACCACTCAATTTGCCATGTTGTTTGTCCATCACAAATCGATCACTGCAGAGTTGATTGATAATATCATCTTGACAGACGCTTCATGCTTCTGTTTGCGGGAAACAAATGCAGGTGTGTCAGGTTACTTGCTTGATTTCGGACTAAGACGCAGGCACATTATAACTCGTTTTATCGTAGGTATTTATTTCCACATGCACATGAGCTGTGAGCAAAGTAAAGGTCCATTGCAAAAGGATCGGTAGTCATAGTCAATACTGAACACAAAGTCCACTTGCAATATGCATTTGAATTATTTGTTACATGTTTCCACAAAAATAAGACGATAGTACGGCATTGAATTCATTTTTCGCTTTTGGACCTGTCTTTATTGATGTGGGTGGTCCGCGATGGATGGTCAGTATGTTGATCAGCTAACATGTTGACGCCTTTTCGGCTTTGTTGGGCTTTGGCCTGCTCATATCATCGCTAGTCAGTTCCATTGCTCGTCGCTGGCTAACGTTAAAAACTTTCGAAATAAAGTGGAAGCTTGCCGTCGTTACTGCGTACCTGCGCCCTGCCTGATAGGTCCTTTCATCCCAGCTATCTCGTGGGTTAGGATAGGTGACGTCAGGTTCAACGTCTCTCACCCACAAGTGGGGAAGAAGCACTGCCATCTGCCATCTTATCAGCTTTAGGAGCGGCAAGAGAGGCGGCGCAACCGACGGTAGCACAAGTACGGCCTATCTTTACAGGGCGTTGATCGCAAGAAGTGATGTACCCGTGACCTACATGTTTTGTACTCATCAGGGTAGTTTTTAGGACATTCACTGTGAAAGGAACGGAGCTGAGACTCAGCAAAAGGCGAGATAATTGCCACGTGTCGCTCACACCTAAAAAGTTTTGCAGTCCGCGCAAAAAGCCTGACCATTCACTGCGCGTCGCATCAGCATTTCTACAGTTGTGATCAGTTCTACAGTTGTGATTTTGCGAACACTTGTTTTGTCGGAATGTTTTCGCGGCAGACCTCGTGATCGGTAATGACGTTACGCAGTGGAGTTTTATCCGTCAGCCTCATTTCACAGTGGCACACTTGATCATTTAAAGCGAACTAAAAACCCTCCCACGTTTTTCCTGTGTAACCTCTTGAACTTGTTGAATGTTGAATGAGCGCTAGCTTCCATGCTCGAGATGCTCTGAATTTAATTGTTTGTTTTGGGGGTTTATGCTTTACTGTTCAACAAGCTATCTTGCTTTACATGAGGTGGGTGCTGGTTATTAGGATGTAAATTTATCCGTACATAGGGGAGAGTGGGGCACATTCGTGCATGGGGCACATTCGTTTTCAGCAGTTTATGGGAACACGAGTGACTGCACGAGCTCAAGGTAAATTATGGAAATATGTCTATCATTGCCGCCCTTCGTTCACCGTAGAAGACAACACTGTACCTGCTGTCATGCTTGATAAAAACGCAAATTTGTAATATTCGTGAGCTTTCCAAACTTTTCTCATATCATCCATTTTCGTGATCCCGACTCGGAAATGTGGTTCAGCTTTTCAAAATTGGGGGTGAAGAAGCCCACTCTATTCACGGAACTGCTGCAAACTTGTTTGTTGAAAAAGTGTCATTTTTTCAAAAAGAAATTTTGAAATATATTACTAATAACGTTGTGGGGCAGGTTCGTGTACGCACTGCCTGGGGGCACATTCGTGCATATTTTTTTTTTAGTTTTTGCGATTTATGACTTTATCTGTAGTAGGTTTCTCTAATGACGCTCGCCTGACTCAGTCTCGACTGCTTGCGACGTCGTGACGAGCAATTCACGCGAACTTGGCGAGGTCACGGAGGCCGGCAGTTGGCACATTCTTGTTGGCCAGCCCATTCTTTCTACATTTGTTGTGCAATGCATTCTTGTCGAAAGGAATCAAGTGAAATGACCCCCTGCCAATTTCCTTTGGTAAATTTCTGGTAATGCCCGGTAATTTCTCGAATTTTGCCGGGTGAACGGAAGTGCCCCATCTCTTGAACGAATGTGCCCCATAGGTGGGGCAGTTTCGTGCAAATGTTCAGAGTTAATAAAAGTCATTTTTCTAATGGAAGCAATAATTTTATAGGATAACTTTTAAAGAGGAAAACTATCTGCAATAGTTCCTTTCCATACTACAATCAACAATTTTGCCATTGCACTAACCAAAGAACAGATATATGGGTTTATCCATTTTTTGCACGAATGTGCCCCACTCTCCCCTACATTACATACTATAAGTAATAAACGTAAATAAACGTTTGTAATCCTGAGTGTGATCCTGAGTAGTTTTCGCACAGTCTTTCCACATCGCTTCCTTGCTCCCTGAAATCAACTATGCAGTACTGTTCCTTATTTTGTCTAGTGTTTTCCCCGCTTTGTTCACTTTCATCGACAGTATTTTGACCTAATAGTAAAGTGATCTTGTTTATCGAGCCGCCCCTCCCCCCTTCGCATTCCATCGTATCGTTTCCAGTTTTCTTTTGTAACTCTGTGTCCGCCTTGCCCCTCGCTCTGTCTCAGCCACTTGACCATGTCGTCTTCCCTTACATCGGCTGCCTTCTGACCTTACCGTCCTCGTTCTGTTACAGCCACTTCATCGTGTCGTTCCTATGGCCGTCGAACGCGTGGCTGTACATTGCGTCCGTCCTGGTGGGTCTGGGCGCCGCAGTCATCTGGACCGGACAGGGAAACTACCTGACCATCATGTCCGAGCCGGAGAACATGTCCAGGAACTCGGGCATCTTCTGGGCGCAGCTCCAGTGCAGGTGAGGAAGGACTTGACCACTTGGATATCCAGACAGGACATAAGAGTGAAATCGGGCGCAGGTCGGTGCCTAACGTATGTGTAATCCCTACTGGTTAGAGAAACTGAAACAGTGTCGTGACTTCAGCAATCAGCAATGTAGGGCCGTTGAGGCATTATTGCTCGCATAGCATTTGACTATGAAATGACACGTTCCTTTCACTAAGCGGAAACATCTGGCGCCAGGCTGGGCATCATGATGCCCCTTTTGTGCCCAAGGGGCATGAGCTCCATGTTAAACATTATAACGACCAACCCCATTTTTTACTATGTATATGACGAGCGGTACTAAGTAATAGCCACCCGAAGTGGAACACCTCAATAAGCGTCTGTGTCTGTGTTGTGTCTGTGTCTGTGTTCTTTTGTTGTGTCTGTCTTTGTTTTGATTTGTTGGAGACGCATATTGACTCTCGCCAATGTCCTGTTGCAGTCTGCTGTTCGGGAACCTGTTCGTGTACTTCATGTTCCGCGACGACACGACCATCCCAAAGGACACGCGAACAGTGGTGCTGATAGTTCTGGCAGTCGTCTGCGGAGTCGGTAGGTGGCGTATCGGGCGCAGAGGGCGCTCATCAGCGACTACCTGCGTACACTGAACTGCTTGTGGAAGGCACATACTGACTGTTACTGGCACATACTGACATTTCAGTTATTTGATAGGAGATTCGATTCGTGTCAATTTGATTCCAGGGCTGTTGTTAGTTTTCACGAAACCAGCTGAGGCGTAAAACCTCTGTAGGATTACACCGGTAATCTGCTCTGAGTTCAGGCACAGGACTAGCTTGCATACCCCTGATGGCGTGATGGCCCTTATAATCTTTTCACCCATGACTCCTCAGGTGTGCTGATCCTTGCACTGCTCAACTGCGCGCCAAAGTACGGTTTCGACGAGTCTGGCCACCGACGTGAGACGCCCGCCTCGAACGAGGTGCCGGTGACGCCGATGGGTGCTCTGAAGGGCGCCTTCGACCTCTTCCTGACACCCCAGATGCTGCTGCTCTCGGTCACATTCTTCTACACAGGTAAGGCGCTTCTAAGAGAGGGGAGGACGGTGAGCGACGAGAGATGCTTGTAAGGCAAGGACTTGACCATAACAGAGCGTCCAGATTCATTAAAAGTGTTCGATTCTTCTCATAAATGAAACTCATACATGCTTTCGAGTACCTCACACTGCACCACATTTCGTATGGACAAGTCTCCTGGAGTTGGAGAAAGTCTAGCAACTTTTTAATATATCCTGTCAATCAACATTTGGTCTGCAATCGTTATGTTTCTCGTGTCCGCCCACCAGGAATCGAGCTCTCCTTCTTCAGTGGCGTATACAGCACCTGTGTGGGCAACACTCTACGTCTGCCCAACAGCAAGGGTCTGGTCGGCATGTCGGGAATGATCACCGGAGTCGGAGAGATCATTGGTAAGGAAGATAGTGATTTAGTGGCCTGTCGCGGAGATCGTAGTTCATCGTGAGATTCCTGGAGCGTGAAAAGCTTCTAGGGTAGTTTCTGCGGACTCTAGGGACTCTGTGCTAGTTTAGGAGAGAGAGTTTAGGACTGTTAGAGACTGTTTAGGTCAATGTGATTGATGCTCGGGTATTTCGGATATCCTGGGTCAGTTGGAGGGATTTTGAGTAAATAGAGAGTGCAGTTAAATTGAAGAGATCTTAGGCTGGAATTGTTGCCTTTCAGTAAATAATTTTGTGTTTGTCAAGGGTGTTTGCGCTCTTTGTCAGGATATTTTATGAGCCCTACAAACCCCTATGTTATCATCGCGTTGTGTCTCACTTCTGACCCGTGCTGTTCTCCTTAGCGTTCACTATGTGCTAACCCCGCCGTCCCACCTCGACAGGTGGCGGCACATTCGGTATTGCCGGCAAGGCGACCACCCGGCACGGCCGCGATCCCGTCGTGATGCTGGGCTTCCTCTGTCACGTGCTGGCCTTCTTTCTGGTATTCCTGAACCTGCCGAACGACGCAGTGTTCGGCAACACAGACGCCGCCGCCTTCATCGACAGCAACGAGTACCTGGCGCTCTTCTGCAGCTTCATGCTCGGCTTCGGTGACGCGTGCTTCAACACTCAGGTGTACTCCATCATTGGAGATCTGTACAGGAATCAGAGCTCGGCCGGATTCGCGCTGTTCAAGTTTATGCAGGTGAGTCGCTGCGGGTGGCGAGATGGGGAGGACGGGTGGGTGGGAGTATGGGGGCTCTTAGGATGGGGGATAGCACTGCATCTAGTGATGGGTGTATGATGGATGTTGTATGTCCCGCCATTGGGTGTGTAATTAAGTGGGTATGGTATGGTAGGGTACCCATACCCACGATTGAGTGGATATGAGTATGGACTGTGGATGATAACCGTCCAAACCACGCTGTCTTAATCCACTGCCGCCGAGAGAACGTTTGTCGGTTGTCCTCTCTTCCATATGGATCCACAACCCCCATCGTGCGCTTTGTAGCCTCTGCAACCCTTATGTGAATAGTGTATTCCAACTACTGTCACTGTCGCCATATTGTGTTTCTAGGTAAGTTCCAATCGCTGTGCCCCCCCCCCCCCCCCGTGTTACACTTTCTCTGACCGCGCGTCCCCGTTCTCCCCCTCAGTCGCTGTCTGCCGCCATCTGTTTCTTCTACTCGAACCACATCCCGCTCTACTACCAGCTGCTGATCCTGGTCATATTCGCTGTGCTCGGCACGGTGGCCTTCTGGCGGGTGGAGCTCGGCCTGCGCCGCAGCGCTGCCTCCGTCGGTACGTTCAACCGCCGCTGTAAGCAGATGATAGCGGCGCTCCTCTGCGCGGGCCTGCTGGCAGGGAGGGTGTATAGCGGGACGGTGCTGCACAAACACCTGCCGCATGGTGTCAGTCAGTGAAATACTGACACTCGACTGACACGGCGGTGAACATCGACAGAGTGACACGGTGCTGATATACTTAGGGCGGGAGATATATCTGACACTGACACAATTGCTGACACACTGTGGTTACAAATTCGCCCCTGGTGACACTGTATCACTCACTTAATCGACACTGACACATAAATCTCACAGTGCACACTTTGGACGACTCACTACCGTCACACCATTTGGCGTGTGTTACTGATATAGCCAGACATATCCTTATTACCACCAAATTCATTCAACACACTTATTATTGTCACGGGCATTTGGTGGTCCTTTGATCAAACATTCCCACGTTCCTTGCATCTTTTATAGACTTCGTAGGTACGAGGGGCGTTCAAAAAGTTCTCGGCCCGACCATGAAGGAGCAGAAATACGACGTCGACTTATTAGACCAAAAATGCTCATTTAGTCAAATAACCAGCGTTAAGACAAAAACATTTCGCGCAGCGCTTCGCGAGAGGCCCCTGGGTCTCCATAGCCAAGTGGGTTTTGGACGCATCTGGCACGTCCAAGACGGCTGCTTTTGTCTCCTTGCTGTCAGCGAAGTTGCCACTGCTAAGCAATTTCCTTATGTTGGGGAAGAGGTGGCAACCTGAGGGTGCAAGGTACGGAGAAAAAAAGTGGCTGTGACAACAACTCGAAGCCACAGCTCACTGCTTCGCTGATCGTCACCCTGCTCATGTGTGCTGGTGCGTGGTCCTGGATCAGGCACACACTTTAAGTCAGCTTCACTAGTCTCTCCTTGATATCTGCTGCTCGCTACTGTTATCGAAGGGAGGTGTATGTAGTATTCATCATCAATTGTGCGCCCCTGTTTTAGAAAGTTGACGAGCAGAGCCCCGCCAGCATCCCAAAATGCAACCACTGTCACCTTGCCGTCTGACTTAAACACGTCGCACACATTTGGTGGCCTTTACTCAGTGTGCTTCCACTTGTGCAACCCGGTCACGCCCTTAGGGTCAACGTGTGACACCCACAATCCCTCCACGGTAACAAGCAGTTCAATTAACTCTTTTGGATCTTCGATATAGGGACCAAACTTTTCGCGTTACGCCTCCTTTCGAGTTTGCCTTTCCTCTGGAGTCAGCAAACGGGGGATGCATCTTGCAGAGATCTTAAACATATTAATACGCTGTCGAAGAATGGTTTTAAGGAACCTGATAGACACCTCCGCTTCTGCTGCGTTGTTCCAGACCAGAACATTTGTCATTTTTCACAAAGAAGTGCTTATTTTTCATATTTTCTTGAGTCAATGCTGTTAGTGGGTGGCCACTGCAGGGGTGACCATTAATGATCTGTTGACCAAAATTGAACAGAGATGCCCACTTTTTGACGCTACTGTAAGAAAGACAAACCTCAACATGTGTTGGCACTAGCTTTTCGTGAATAACGTATGATGCATTTTTTCTGCAATAGGGTAGCCTGGGGCAAGACGCCCCAGATAATTTGTTTTGCTACATAAATTTTGTCCCACATCACCTGAAAGGCCAAATTTGTGCTCAATGCGTTCTTTGGACATTTTACTTTAAATTGCACCCCTCAAATTGATTCACTTATGATCGGACTCCAAGCTAGGAAGTGATTTGTGAAGCAACTGCAAATGGGGCATTTTGCCCCAACCCCAGGGCAAAACGCCCCACGGCCTGGGGCAAGTAGCCCCATACCTTAGATTAAAGATTTAACATGGTAGTTGGCTAAATCTTATGTGAGAGGTCCGTTAGACCTCTGGAGGCACGGCACTGAAGTTAGCACATTCCATCCTGTCAGGTGCTCAGCATATGACACTGTTGTATGAGCAGGTTTTTCACCTACCTCATAAGACCAAATAATAAATTATTGCAATGCAAATGTTAACAAAATACTTCCTTTGCCATCCAGTTGCTGAGAAAAATACACATAAAGGCATAGAAACTTACTGGTTGCCAGCTACCGAACATTAGAAAGTGGGTAGCCCCAACAACACAAGAGGTAAAACGCCCCAGGGGCTTTTTGCCCCGCGACCTACTGGGGCGTTTTACCCCATCACGTAGTTCGGTCAGAGAACAACGCCTTGCACTCCAGTAAGACATAATTTAACACGAACCAACCCGGCATGATAAGCGTTAGACAATAGTTGTTCAAAATACATAAAAGTCGTTAACCTAATGTGGACCATAAAAGAACGCCATGATTCATAATCTGACAACAAAACATAAAAATCACTCAAAAAACACATTTTTGGCTATATCCCCCCAAGGAGTCATCACAATATCTTTCCAGTCTGCTTATATAATGATCATATAGTGCACGTTTTATAGAAGAGATGATGTTTCCCCAGAACCCTGCCAGTTCCGAGAAACATCGGTGAGGCGTTTTACCTCGGCGGGGCGACTTGCCCCGGTCTACCCTACATAAACCAAATCACTGTTCTCTTCTGGGCGTCGCCCATTCTGACCGGGAATGGCAAACTATGTTACGATTAATTAGCAGCCTGAACCAATCACAGGGCAGATTGGTTAATGGCTACGTAAGTGGACATCCCAATAACACATCATTGAACACACCGCGTTACAGGCCGAAATTCCAGCTCCTTCATGGTTGGGCCGGGAACTTTTTGAACGCCCCTCGTATCATTGCGCGGATATGCCTTTATCGGCTAAGAATCTTGATAAACGGGGTCGCGTTTCGTTCGCCCCCCCCCCCCCCGTCCTGTTTCGTACGTCCCCCTCCCCCATTCCTACCTCTCCTCCCCTTCCCCTCCAGCCCCGTTTCGGTCCCCCCCCCCCACCTCGCTCCCCTCCCCTTCCCCACTAACCCCTTCCCCCCCTCCCCACGTCAGCCACTGTGGTGTTACATAACCAATCGGTACGCGTGCGTAAGTTGGTACGTAAGCAGTGACGGCCAGCGGCTCAGCCCCGCCGCTGCAGTGCTTCGCCTCACGCTCATAACACCCGAAAATGCGCCACAATTAGCAACGTAAGGTCGGTGGAGCGACGTAAGGCCCACGTGGTATGCATGTTGTAGGGTCATTACTCATTACAGACTGGCTATTGAAACTCGGCAGGGGGTGTTCAACGCCGAATTAAAGGCCCATAAGTATGAAATTGTTTTAGTTACTTAAAAATATTTTACAATAGCGGCCAAGAAGACAGAGGCGCTTGCGAGTCTGTGGAAATTTTTGGGTGACGGTGTATTTACGTGAACGAATGCACACTTGGGCTGTGAGGATGGGCATGTGAGTTCTGTTTGTAGTCTCTAGCTGTTTTGCGTAGCTTTTTGTTGGCTGCACTTCTGTTTTGTTTTGTCTGCAGTGGTGTAGGAGCTATGTTTTTACTTGTTATCGGACCGCGAGTGCTGTTTTCGGCTCGGTAGTGTTGGGTGGCCTGGATGTTTTGTGGTGTCGTGTCTTCGTGTTTTGTTTGGACAGTGTTTGGTGTCACACTTTTGGGGAATTGGTGACCGTTTGGTGGCAACGTTGATTATTCATAGGTCAATATGGCTGATGCCACTATCGCATGCATTTAGATACACAGTTGTGGGAATGTCAGAATTGAGAATGGAAAGGTGCTGCGGAAAAAAAAGATAGGCCAAAAAAGGTTGGGCATCGTCTTAAACCTTCTATTGCCATTCGACAATCTTGATTTAATATATGGTGCCCTTGAACATATTCTGCTGACTTATCCTGTGTAGAGAGGATGTGAAAGTTGTGAGGCTAAAACAAAAGTACCAATATGCCATATGAATTTGTATCTTCCCAGATGACACAGTTAATTCAAAGAGTGCTTCCGACAGACTCCAATGGTGTCTAACTGGAGTATAAGAGTTAGTTAGACGTTTCATTGAAGCTGCTTCAAAGACAGGCTGTGTGAAACGGACATTAAAACATCATTGGCTCGATCTCTTGGCATTTCATTATGACAGTAAAACACAAAAGGTTCGTCCTCAACGGATGTCATATAGTGCGACTGTTTTTTTTTCGTTGTCAGCAGCCTGTACTTAATTGAAGGGCGCGTTATGCAATGGTAAGTCGCTTTCGTTGGAGCACACTCGTATTCTTATCTTGCCAGCATGATTGCGACATTTGCCCGTGTCCTGTCAATTTGGGGAACAACTTGTTTTTTTTTTTTAACCACATTCACGGCAGTATAAATGGGGGGGGGGGCGCTGTTGCAGACTTATTTTGATGGGGTCGCTTGGACCCATTTTCACCGCATACATTTGCCCTGCCGTGGCGCTTGCTTGGCATTACTGTTGATCGTTGGTATGTTGTGGCCAAGTCTCTAGAGACAGTGTGCGTGTTCGGGTCCGTTTGTATTGTCGACCGTCCTGCCTCGGCGTGCCGTCTGTTGTCGCCGTTTGGAGTTTGTGTGTCAGACAAATACTGGCGAGGTGTCCAGATTCATTGCACGTTTGTTGTGGTCAGACAATACAGGTTGGCGGTTTTCAATGGCGTTTTTGGTAAGCGAGCGATAGGGAACTGATAATGTGCAGAAAAGCGACACTTCCAAAGCGCGCGAAACGATTCAACAAGTCCTAGAGCTGATTGGCGTCATAACTGTTAGCATTCAGACAAAATGAAGTCATGTTGTGACCAGGCAATAGCTGGCAAATGACCTCAGTTGTTAAAAAGGGTCCAAAGTCCAAAAGTAATAAATTAGGCATCAAGCCGTGCATGTAGCATCTGAAGTCAAAGATCCATGCTCTTATGATAGAGCTAGATCATTTTCAGAGCTATACAAACACTTTATATTTCCCCCATTGCGTTAAAATTGGAAGCTCACATTACTGACCTGACCTCCGAAGTGACCCACGCGGAAAATCCGAGGCTGAAGAGACTCGAAAGTTGGTAAACTTCCGACCCGACTCATCTTCCTGTGAATTAATCCCTAGCACTGAGAGCGCCGCGTGATGGCGACATTTTTGGACCGTGCCAGGGTTCAGGTATGACTTCATAGGCAAGTGACCTGGCCTGACCTGACCTTACCTGACCTGAAAATGAGCGAAGTGCAGGTCTGGTCTAGATCAAAAGCCCGGCAGGCCAAATATGAACTATTCATAGTTAAGGTGTTCCTAACAACGGCTGAAGATCCGCGGAAGGTAGTAACTACCGTAAAGTATTCTTGGTAACTTACCCACTTTCTGGGTCTCGGCCATGAGGGGTTAAATCTATATTCATCATAACTTATGAAGCGTGGTGTAGGAGTGGGCCGCAGAGAACACCCAAACGTCTAGCAGACGTCCCTCTTACTAGGCCCCGCGAATGCCTAGCTAAACTGGTAGGTAAGTGGGATAAGAAACCTTATCGATATTTATACCTTCTAGCAGAAAGCACATGCAAATATTTTCTTACTTATTTTAGAATTAGTCACTATAATTTGAGATATTTTCTTCCGGATTGTGGGATTTTTAGGCGAAAAACTAGGGGAGGGTTAAAATGAGCTGTACCATCACACTGGCTCCAGGCCCCACGCAGTCTTAGAAGACCTCACTGACCTCAGAGGGTCTCTTTTTGCCATGCAGTTACCAGAAGGCCCATAACGGCATCTGAGAACCCCACAATGCCCATGGGCCATGACGGCATCTGAAGCAATTCTGGATGGCCCAAGCTGATCTCTGATATCTCTATGCCAGCTAATAAGGAAGGGCCAATCTTGTCACGCCAGCCCAGCTTCTCATGGCCGTTTCCTTGGAATTTCCTTGGAAAGTTTTCATTGGACATTCTGTCTCTTGGTCTCATGCTGGTAAAAATACATCCAGCTTTCGTCTCAAGTCACTTGAGAGTCAATTTGCTATGTTTCTCGGGCATTTTTGCCAAGCTAATCACAAAATATTGCCTAGCGACCCTCCAGGCTCCAAGTTGTCTTCACATGAACAACCTGACTGTGCTTTACACTGATCACTGTAACAAGCCACGTGCGACTTGCCATGTTCAGGGTGACGCCGTTGCCGTCTTTTGCAACGTAGAAAAACAAAGTTACGCAAGTACGTTTATAACAACTGTGGTAAGGACTTTTGAGAACAAATATCTAGCACTGTTCATAGGGATTTTACGAGGCCAGCCTCAAAACTTCTGGAGTGGACGACGTCTCTTGGTCGTCTCATTGTCTTTTGGTCCCTGGATTACCTAGGTTATACTAAATACATGCCGCGATTGTGATTACCATGGATTACCTCGGTAAAATTTGATCCATTTCGCGCTAGTGCATCTGCGTGGATTACCTAGGTAATAGTAATGGCCAGGGCAAACTTCTTCAACCAGCCAGTTACGTTTCACACACATACAAGCCAACGCTCACCAAACCATTGTTCGCCCAGCCCCTTCATATTTTACCGCTGTTTTACTGGCCCTCCAATGGTCATATTTCCATGTTTTAGGACCGTCTACAAGGGGGCGAGTTTCGCGCCGGACGTCATGAGTTATTTTTGCGCCGACCGCGACGACAGTAGCAATCAACCTCACACTATTTTGGGTTAAATTAGATATTTTAACTGAATGACGTCACACCATGTTGATAAAAGCTACTTACACATTCACGAGCCTACATATAGTCACTAAAATGTTAATTGTTTTCAAAACGGGCTTCGCTGAGGAAACTAAATATTATAACCAAATATATCGGCTTTATTGATCAGCCTTGTTCACTGATCTGAAGTTCACTGGCTTGAACAGCTTCAAACCAGTGAAAAGGGCTGATCAATAAAGCCGAAATATTTAGTTATAATATTTAGTTTCCTCAGCGAAGCCTTAAAAACAATTAACATTTTAGACATCTATTTACCTGGAGAAAAGAATAATGACGCTTCGGCAAGAGCCTTGTCACCATTGAACCTAAAGTTTGACTCTCACAAGCACTGCCAGTTTTGTTTGACCGAGCATATTCTAGCACGGGTACTGCCAGTTTTGTTTGACCGAGCATAGTCTTTGTCCGTTGCCTGTTTCAGCGTTCGAAATACTGCTGGTGTGTCCCTCTGTGCTGGTTCTTTTGCCGTCCCAACAGTGCAACCGTAAATATAGCCCCACGAGCTGATGTATCTGCTGCTATCTTTGTTGGTTTGGATCCTGTGCATATTACATGTGACTTTTGTACAATGTATACGATGTTGACAGGTACCTGCTACCTGACCTCTTTGTACGGTGTAACCCGGCTGGTTAACGCTGTTCGGTCCCTTTTATGGCGACACTGGCATACACCTGCTATTTTACTCGTTAGTGCAGCGGCCAGCGTATCCCGACAGACCATTAGCACCCGACCCGACTTGCCCATTTGTACGGTGTAACTTGGCCGATAAGTGCTCTGTGATCTCTTTACACTGTGTAATGCGTATACCGGCCCATAAGTGTCTTTGACTGTTTTATACGGCTTGTCGCTCATTGTTCCATGCCTCGGCGTGCCTCGGTAACTTCTATTTTCCCATTTCTTACTGTATTTTTTAGCCAATAACTGCTATCTAACCCCTTTCTACGGTGTGTTTCGGCAGAGATTACCCCGCGGAACGACACTAGCTGTGCGGCTCCTGTGGAGAACGGCGATGCGGAGAAGAAGGCCTCTGAATAACGCTGGTACTGACAGCATAGCGCCATCACAGCCGGAGAGAGAGATGACAGCTTGTGACAGCAGCCTGGTGTGACAGCTGGCGGGGACAGGTGACGTCACAGGTGATGACTGGCCCGCTGCTTCCCTCGACCTGACCGGTCGATACGGGACCGACGGAGATGTGCTACGTCTGTCTACAGTAACGTCATTATCTTCAGACGTCGTGGGACCACCAAATGTGGGGACATCCAGTTGCCAAATCACCACATATGAACGGCTCAACGACTCTCATATCCATAGGGACTTTTCATAGGGCGCCTTGGTCTTAAAACATGAGAATTTGTGACGTTAGAAGCTGGTGCGAAACGAACATCTTTCCCGCGGTAGTTTTTAGCTATTTCATAGCAATTTTTATCTGTTACCTATGGTTTCTTCTGTCCAGTTTGAGTTATTGGCTCCATGGCTGCTCTAAAAATGTTTTTTTGTGTCGGAATTGTTAAAGCAGTTACCGGAAATCAGTTTATTCCATGGATATATCTTAGCTTCTTTTTTACGGAATTTTCATATTTTATCAGATACTTTCCGTATGATTCAAATGCTGCATTTGTATAAACGTCTTCGTTTACAAGTGAAAAGCATCTTTCATTCCAAATGGAATGTTGCTTTATCTAGCCGTGATGGATGTCGAATGGTTCTTGAGCTTTATGAAGTGGGTCAAACGAAGGTTACCAACCTTGCAGGGGTTATATATTGTGTATTGCATCTATGATTGTAATTCTTTTTCATCTTCGTAATCATAAAATGTACAAATCATGTATATATGTACATTCCATCAAGATATTCCGAACACGCATATTTGTCAAGTTTTGTCAATTTAATGCTCTTTAGCGTAACCGATATTCGCACCATTTTTATCAATTAGGTTGTTCTTTTTATCAATAATTTTGGCGGCACTGCTCGGCAGCTTGAGAAGTCAGGATAGCTTACTATATGGTTGAGCCCCGGATCTTAAATTGGATTGGCGCAGAACCGTGTCTCTCCGCTGCCTGGCCTTTGATTGTTTAGTTGCCGATTCATGCACCACGCTGGTCGTGATTTATATCATTCGAGCTATAATCCCAAGCAATACCGGGTTGGTAGTGTGCCGATGGAAATAGCTTTGTAGGATGGTGTGGATGTGAGTCAGTGTATGAGTTTTTGTATATGTGCTACATAAAGGTAAAAGAACATTTATCGTACGTAAAGCGTGAGATTTCGCTCTCCTGTATTTCAACCTTTATCTTCTTGTACCCCTTTTGCATCTGGTGCGGTGTTGTTGATTTAATCCCATGTATTCGGTAGGGATGCAATCCTATCCTCGACCCTGGCTGCAAAAAAAAAAAAATTATCATGCCGTGCTTCTGCGAGGGTCACGATTCTAATCAATCATTTTACTTTCTGAATTTTTCTTTTAGAGGTGTTTTTGCTCCTTTTACGTACAGTGTATGTATTGTACATGGACCCTTTTTGTCTTGAGAATGCTGTGATCATTGTTTCATATATTAGCTATGTCCCGAAATGTCGCTAGATTTTGAGGCCTCCACCTTCATTTAAGGAGTTTGTGTCTGCTCTTTGCTAATCTGTTTCGTGTAAATGAAAGGCATGTTTTTCGTTGGTGGGACGTTTGAAGATTGAATCACCCAACACTATCAATAAGTTTTAGAAGTTCGCTTTAATTTCATTGAAGAAGCCTACTGCTTTATCGCTATGCATTATCACCGGAAACAGCTGTTACATACGTGTGTATAATGTATAGTATATGTCAAGATCAAAGGTTTCATGGTGGATATTCGATTTAGAACAAAGCTCAAAATCGTGATGATGGTGTTGTTTCTAATTCAACTGTGGTGGTGTTTTATCGTTCACTGATTGATCTTCCATAGAGCCGTGTGCGGTATAGTACAGTTGGTCCAGCTCAAATCGGCTCATGTAGCCATGCATTCCGACTGACAACGTTTTGACACCCGATCTTACACCCAGAGTTACTCTTATGCACCCAGTGGATGTGTCTTATCTTATCTGGTGTTAAATGTCTCCCTATTTCTTCTTATCTATGTATGACTCCTTGCTCAATAACTGCATGTTTATTAGCGAGCTCTTGTATTTCTTAGTCTGGGTGCAAGCCACTGTTTATCATTATAACCGGGGCCCGTGCCAAATCGCGTCTTCGCGTACCTGTTGTCAATCGGACATTTTACGTACAGTAGAAACTAACGTTCGTTACTCGTCAGATTATTGGTGACCGATATTGTGTCAAATGTCCCCGTTTTGACATCCCAAATATACTTCATCGATAATGGTATTCAGATTTTATTTCTCGGAGTCAATGCAATAGTGTGCTCGCAAGGACAGGAAGCGAGAGGTATAAGGATTCCATCGGAATGCGAGTGATATGCAGATTGCGGAGACCTATAAAGAAAGAGGCAGATATTAAGAGCCGTGGTATTTCAGCGGATTTCAGGTGAGGGAGAGGGAGAGACGTGGAATTTCCTGTTGAGGTCAATCGAAATGGATGCTGAAGCACCTTTGCCTCTCTCCCTTTCCCATTCACTATTTGTGGGTGCATGTATGAACCCATTACCTGTGCCTCGCCTACAATCGCCGTCCGTGCGTGTGTTCATAAATTACAATACCATGGCACCGTGCGTCACACGAATGGCCAATAACCGGTGGCGATATCCCCGCACGCGAAATGGGTTCGCTGCTAGGCAGGGCGTCATGTCCCACTCAAGTGGCTCGGTTGTCCTGGGGATCGGACAACCACCAAGCGGCGTGACGGGCCTATGTGGTCACATGCGGCGATTGGAGGGGGTACTCCTGGCAACGGGAGGGACCGCCAGTGCTAGGTACTCCAGTGCCTGCCATTGGCACAGGGTGCCACAGTCAGTGCCTGAAGCGGATCAGTGGCGTAAACATTGGCTCAACAGCTGGTGGGTAAGTGTGCTATGCCAGGGTGTGTAATGTTTCACTTATGATACGTGCGCCTTTTCAATACTGTAACGCTTGCTTGTTACTGGTATTGTCAGTTTTTTTTTTGTGGGCAACGGTTGACGGTCACTGCCAATTGAAATTAGGCAAAAATAAAAAATAAAAATGCAGGAATTAGGTGAAAAACTCCTAACTGCAATGATAATTTCCCTTGTAGTTGATGCCAGCGCATATAGTATTGATATGTCCTTTCTAAGCTGATTGGTTCGTATCTGCTTGTTTCAATCGCCTTTGTTTTGTTTGCCATTCCTGCGCCGCCGTCTGTTTAGTTCGATCGGTATGGTTTGCCGTTTTCACTTTTCTGTGCTCCCATGGGTTTGATGTTTTTGTGCCACAGGTGCACTGCGTGTTCGTCGGACCTGGACGGGCGCCATGCCCCCCACCTGGCTGTTGGCCGCCCTTCTGGGGGCCGCCGCCGGCTGTCAGGACATCCAGCTGTACTTTGGGCGGCTGCCGTCCTCCATGGAGATCGAGAGTGTCACTCTGCTGCCATCGGCCACCTCCTGTAGCTGCTGTGGTCTGTGCCACCGCAACCCGGCCTGCCAGAGCCTCATGTTCCGCGCAGACGACAACCAGTGCATCCTGTACAGCTCAGTCGGCGGGCTGGCCGATTTTGACCGCAAGGCACCCTGGACCAATGAGAAGTTCTTCTTCATGCCCGGTCGCTCCCAGAGCGGGGAGTTCTGCCAAACGGACAGCGACTGCATCACGTCGGGGGACTTTTGTCGAGGAAGGATCTGCACCACTGATGACACTCTTACGTGCCGTGACTTCTACGATATCAACAACAACCTGCGCAGCGATCGCTACTGGGGCTACATCGCCGGTCGGGAGATCCTGCTCGGATGTTCCATGGGCAGTCGTCGTGGCCTCACTCAGCTGATGCGGACGTGGCCGTCGGAGCAATGGACTGCAGCGAGCCGACTGAACATGACCACGTATAACAATGACGGCACCGCCAGGACGAACCACCTCCAGTCCATCCTGTGGTGAGAGAACGGCAAAGTACTCTGTCGACGGGTGTGATGGGCATGGGCCTGCGCCCTGCAGGGCCATTATTGGGTTTATTCCGACAAAGGAGGAAGAGGGTCCACTGCAGTGTGCGAAACTACTAATCCATTTTTTCGAATTTCTAACAGCATTTGCCCCCCCCCCCTGTTACTACGTCAACATTGTGCGAGGCACCTATGTCGTATATTGTTCATCTGTCTCCTGTGACCAGAATGTGTTTTACATCAGTCTTTGTTCGCAGGGCGGCTGACATTATCCGCGACGCCTCTTCAAGCTCGGACTCGACCTACCAAGTTCTCGTCAGCGGCTATCGCGTGGATAAACAAGGCTCAGGTAAGGATGCGCGGGCTGAAACGAATTCTTCCTATTGCTGTATTTTTCTTATAAATCGTGTTTCGTTTAGATAGTTGCACACAAATCGGCATGAGTTGTGTTCTTGTCACCTGCCGCAGGTCCAACGCATATTAATACTAAAGACACGGAATATATAGTCTACGACAGGCTATATTTTCCGTGCTAAAGGGTTACTTTATCCAAAGAACGCATTGAAGTTGCCTTGAAAATGGATCATGTAAGGCCACGTTGTCTATCACGGTTATTTTGTTTCCAGATGATCGGGAGGACTGGATTCACCACCACCGTAACATAATGTTCGCTGTGCCGAGGGATGTCAGCCTCTTGGGCGACACACCCCGCAGCATACCGTACAACGTTGAGGGAGGACACTCGTTCGCCTTCGCCGACGGTTCGTCTGTGTCCTTCCCGTATCTGGTCAACTCCGGCGGACAGATTCTGTATCACGCCAACATGAATCCCAGCTCAAACTTTGGCGTGATCGTGCGCACGACTGGGCCGCTGCGTTGGGTGGGGCCAACGGACTATCCCAACTACATCACCGTCTACATCAGGGAGTAGGCGGGGCCGTCGGTTTACCTGAACTCCAACCACATCACCGACTATGTCGGGGAGTAGGCGGGGCCGTCGGACTACCTGAACTAGATGGCTGGACCATTTAGGGGAAAGGAAGGTCCACTACAAACGTAAGAACACTCTTTGATTTTGAGACGATCTTTTCTTGTCTATTGAGTGATGGGCTGGTTTGGGAGAATATACAACACCAGTGGAGTGAACTACGGCGTCAACCTAGTTGAAGCAATGGATCCATGTGTCTTATATCGACACCTTTTTTCTATACCCCACATTTGTTCTCCCGTGAAGTTCAGACAAGTTGTTTAGAAACCTTCAAAAAAGGTACAGTCACTCGATTTTTCTCAAGTTTGTCTGTCTTGGCAGATCAAGCAATGCCAGAGCAAGCTTACGAACACACAAATTTGATCAGGATCGGACGATTGGACACTTCTAAAAAGAGATCTTTCGTGCTTCCCGGAAATTCACCGGAGAACAGATGTGGGGTTTAAAAAAAGGTGTCGATATAAGGCATGTACCTTTCCTGTCTTTAGGTATGTATGAACAAATTAAACATTAATGTGCAAACCCTAATCCTAGCAAGTTCGTTCTGATACCTACTAGCATTCCCCGCGTAAATGGTTCAATGAGTACCTACAGCATTTGTCGGTGCATTTCCTGTCCACTGCTAAAGCGAGTGATGCTGGCTCGGGACGCGGCTGGTGTATTCAGGTCTTTGCCGGTACAGGCCCGAACACTTGCCAGTTGTGACGTCGCATTAGGTTTTATCTACTTTTGAGTAGGTACTCATGGGTTTATCTCAAGCTATTGGTGCGCACATTATGCTTTTTCGCGTTTTGTAAGCCTGAGCTCTGTTCGCACCCCGTTTATTTATCAGCACGCTGCGACCATGCTGCTGCTTCTTGGCTCCTCATTGGTCGAATTCAAGTGGTCTATTCGTTAGACCAATGAGAGGCCAAGCCGCGCCAGCAATAACTTCCTTATATGGGGAAAACCGACAGCACGCTGATATAAAAACAGCGACCGAACAGGGCCCTGTTGGCTGCTCAAGCTTAAGGAACAAATTTGGTTGCATCACAACTGACATGGCTTTTGTCTTGACAAGGATATTGAAGTACACTTAGGTTTGCTTTAGGAAAATAGACCTCTCAATCTCGATCGCTCGATCTCTACTTTTGTTGTCGCTTTGCCGCTTTTTATCTTGTGAATAGGAGGAAAGTTCCAGAAAGGAAAGTTCCACTGGTCAGGTAAAAGCTGTAATTGATCGGTTTCGCTGTTAGGGATCGGATTATGTGTGAAATGAATACGAATATGGCGTCTTCAATGACTGCAAATCGTGTCGCCTAAGCCGTATAAGGACACTGCTGATGATCGAAGACATTATTCCCATCCTCCGTATGATATCAGAGAAGCAATATTTTACACAATGTATTGAAATGTGAGCCATGCTTCACACAGATCACACCATATATAAAAGCAGAACAATGAAGTTGCGGGAGACGTATAAAGCATATGGTAGCCATTCACATGCAAGCACGCGCCGTTCACTAACAATTGGTAGCAACATGCAACGCCTTGCCATTGGTATTGCAGAATATGCAAAAATATGAAATGTGATTAACAAAATACACCTTGTCATCGTACTTGTAGTACTGAAAGTCAACGCCTTAAATATAATAGTTTTCTAGTTATAATAGTTATATAGCGCGGAAGTAACTTCTTTCAAAGTACGTAACAAAGAAAACTTCGGCACAAAATGCTGAGCAAGTGAGAGCCTTTACGCGAAAATATAAACACACACGCACGTACGCATTCTTACACACGTATGCGTGTGCATACACAGTGCACACACACACACGTCATTAAGTTTGACGATTGACACTGTTGGGTCTTGACATCCGTGACAACGGCTGCATATCTCCACTCTTGGAGATAGTCGAACTCGTGCCAGACTATACAAACACCAACACATACCATATCACACCTTTCACGGCCACCTCAAGTACGTCCTGTGAGCTTCACACCTTTCACGGCCACCTCAAGTACGTCCTGTGAGCTTCACACCTTTCACAGTCACTTCAAGTACGTCCTGTGAGCTTCACACCTTTCACAGACCCCGTTTCCATGGGCACCACTGATCCGGATCAGCAAATTTAAATCGTATTATATTTCTCGAATTCTTCGTTACAGGATATAAATCAAAGTGGATTAGGCTTATATAATCAGTTAATCCCTTATTTTCATTTTCATATAGCGTCTAACTTTACTGGATTAGCTAATCCACTTTTACTGATCCGGATCAGTGATGCCCATGGAAACGTTGTCACAGTCACTTCAAGTACGTCCCGTGAGCTCAAACCACTTCCTTCTAGACAGTTCAGCGTCGTAGCCTCGCCGCTCGTGGATGTATGTCTGGGTGCAGCTCACAATATGTGGCAGCACAATGTCACCTCCGACGCTGACTCCGTGCCTCGCGGTGACACCCTCCTTCTGTCCGTACACTCTATCACAATCGGTAACCAGCGGGAGAGCGGCGGTATGGTAACAGGATTTCATTCCCTTCACTCTGACGGTCATGTAACCTTAATCGCCACCTTAACTAAGGTCCTTGGCCAATAGTTATAGACTTTGACAATAGATGAGGGTCACCTCGACGCTTCGACGCTCGAAATTGAGCGAAAAAAGTGGCTGAAGAGACCTGCGTCCTACCCTGGTCTCGGAGAATCCTTCAAGGCACTCAGCCACAGCACTGCGTCTTGAAAACATCTGCATCCACCCATCTTGAGCTTGTGAAAGTCTGTCCACTTCACCCCAGCAACTCAAAGCTGCTGAATCAACTCGCGAAGAAGTCCAACCTCCCCCACCCCGCGATTACAGGCCAAACAGTCGGCCGAGCCCCCTCAGACCGAACCCGATGGCGCCCTGTAGCGGCCGGAACGGCCCGGGTCGCGGCCCGACCCCGAACGGGGCCCGGAATGACGGAGGGCCGGGCCGGAACGACGGCGCCGGCCGGAAGGGCTGCGGTCCGGACGACTGGAAGCCGCCGTCGAAACTCTGGTCGCCCGACTGGAAGCCCTGGACGAAGGTCTGCTGGAACTGGTTGCCGTTGCTGTCTGAGGTGATGATGGTGCTGGTTGAGGAGGTGGTCGGAGGAAGAAGGTTCTTGGGCGGCAGCTGGCCGTTGTTGTTACCGTTGTTGAAGTTGTTGTTGTTATTGTTGTTGAAGTTGTTGTTGTTGTTGTTGTTGTTATTGTTGTCTCCGAGCTCGGACAGACACTGGACGCGGCAGGATGTATCGTCGAGGACCGCCTGCCGTCCCGACTGGGATACCAACTGCTGGCAGCTGGTCACCTGCACACTCTGACAGGTCGTTTGCTGAAAGAGAGAAAACGAATTAGCAATGTTGGTAGTTGAAAGTTAACGCCAATGTAACGATTGCTGAGAAGAACTTGTTTTGAATATCGACCTAGTCAATTTCAAGATTTCTTTTTGTCTTAGAATGTATCCAAATTAAGCTATCATCACAAGTCAACCATCTCAACCTCCTGACGACTTGTGTGCAGCATCAAATGAGGAACGACGGCACCTGACGATGGTATCGCATGCCATCGTCGTCTGTCTACAAGCACAGAACACCTCTGCCTCTGCTAACTTATCCTAAATCCTACTGACTACTCTCTCCCCTCCATCTCGCCCTCCCGCCTCCCTCCACCACCTCCATCCCTCTTCTCCTCCCTCCGACTGACCCCGTTGTTGCAGGAGCAGCGCGTGCAGGGGCTGATGTTGACCGTGCTGCCGGCGCTGATGTCCACGCCGTTGACATTGCACTGGCCTCCCCCGTTGTTACCCTCTCTCCACAGCTGGAAGTCGATGTCGGGCATCGTCCTGCACGGAATTCTCGGGTTCCTGCGGCGGCGAGATGTGGAGATCATTGACCAGTCAATCGAGCGTCGCAATGGCAGCCATGCTTTGGTGAATTTTCGGGTAAGCCTCTGACATTGGCATCCGAGAGGAAGCTACTTCGACATTGGGGCTCAGTAAAGGCTGTTTAACTTATTTCGTTCTCAAGTAAATATGCCAAATGATATTTTCTCTTCAGACAATTTTAGTTCGCATAATTGATATAAAAAACTTCAATCGCTGTACTGCAAGTTCAACTAAATAAATAGCATACTCCTGATGCGATCACATTACACCACACGAACAACAGACATGGACATTGGACACCCAGCCTCACAGCATTCCGGAGCCACTCACAGGAAGTCTTGTGGCATGTCGAACAGCGCCCGCTGCACGGCGTCCACCTGGTCACAGTTCTGACACATGATTCGGCTCATGGTGACCTTACGAATCTCCGCCAGTTGCTGTTCAGTGAAACGCAGTGTCGTGTCGTCTGTCTCGTACCTGCGGGAGAGGAAAGGTCAGAGGGATATGGTGGGAGTTATGAGGTCAGAGCGGCCCGGCGGGAAGACGAGAAGTCATAGGGGCATGTAGGTAGGGCAGGATGTAAAAGGGTGGAAAATGGGAGGTCGGAGAGACATGGCGGAGAGCCAAGAGGTTAGAGGGGATGATGAAAGATTGATATGTCAGAAGGTGTGTTAGAAAGGTGAGAGGTCGGAGGAAAATGGCAGGAAGGCGAAAGGTCACATGCCATAAAGAGGTGAAAAACATGACTGGAGGATGAAGGGTCATGGCGAAAAATCACAGTCGGATGGATGGAGCTCGATGAGCGTATCGAGAGAATAAACGAGGTATCAATATAATATACTCTGAGCTTAGACTAAACTCAAAATAGCATTATCATCAACTACTTAGAAAGTATAGGCTGATTTCCATAGTGAAAAGTAAATGTAGCCACAGGGTGCATTATTGAACTTCTTACCAGAACCGGTCGCACTTCTTGAGGAATCGGAACTGGAGTCCGATGATGCAGCCGAAGGTCGGTCCGACCAGACCTCCTTGGAGCGGGGTTTCACTCAGACCTCCCGAGAACAAGTCAATGTCGTCCACGTGAGCGTATACCTGTGATGGGGAGAGCAGGGAGAGAGAGAGAGAGAGAGAGAGAGAGAGAGAGAGAGAGAGAGAGAGAGAGAGAGAGAGAGAGAGAGCGTCAGATCCTCGCCAGACTCGAGTAGGTAGACCATTTATTTATACCGGCTTCAAACAGTCGACTCTTCTCACGACTGTTCTTCGCCCTTTTCAACTCAATCCGACGGGGCAACCTGCAATATCTGCACTTTAAATGACACTGCAAAGTGCAAGAGGTCTACTGGGCACACACTAATAACGATCGTTCCTTATTTAAACACGGAAAAGCTTAGCTTACCTGTTTCATCTTTTCGATCAGTTTCCGAGGAATCTCCCGCGATAGGTCGTCAAAGGTGGAGGCCTTCTTCAGATTGCAGATAGCTCGGTAGTCGTTATAAGCCGGAATGCCGTGATCACGAGCTGTGGAGAGGAAACGTATGCCATTTTGGGTCAGCAATCCAAGAGAACCAAACAAACGGAGAGTCTGATATTTTAAATCGCGATACGGAGAGAATCATGAGCAAGAGCTTATGAGTGACATCGATATTGGCTATCAACAATCAATAAGCAATGACTCCGATGTAAAGTGCATCAGATCATGGAACACTGCCCCTTGTTGCAGAGTATATCCCCTCCCGTCTCTAGTGTAGATTTGAGCCATGGTCTCATACCTCTCTGTATGTTGAGGGAAACCAGGTCCAGGCCGGAGAAGGGCCGCCCCGACTCCTCGAACAGGTGCTTGGTCACCTCGCCCGTGATGTGGTTGTCCAGGTTCTCCATAGGGGTGCTGATCAGCCCGCGCATAATGTCGTCGACCATCTGGTCCTGTGACGGCAGACATGAATACGTCACATACGGCGGCTGACGTCTACAGGTCACATTGAATAACAAGGTTCAAGAGATGGCCCCTATCACTCTCAACTGCTTCCTATAGAAAACTGTTGAAGAGATGTCGGGAGGACAACGTGATAAATAAAGAGATGCTCCATAGACTGCGGGTTATTTTACCTCCAAACATCACTTCTTTCTGGATTGTCTAGCTCCAAAAGTTGCCACGGATAGGTTTGCCACATCACTCAATGTTGTGTTTGGATAAATCCAATAACGAAAATTGTCGATGTCTATTGATAATCAGTATCAATTGCCATCCTATATTTGTCACTTACATCGAACATCACGTCCGAGTTGAAGAAGTTGCCCCGGAGGGGGACGTCGGGCTGCTTCTGTCCAAAGTTGACGTCCATCCTCTTCAGGTCTGGCCGGATCAGCGAGTGCCCGAACCGGAAGGCGGCTGAGGAGAACTCGGTGAGCACAGCCGCACTGCACGAGCTGTCGTACCCTGGGGGTGGAGGGGAGATGAGAGGCTGTTCAGCACTCAGAGATCACGATTCACGGTTCACACTGACTGACAGAATACCGATTGGGAGAGAGGAAATTCTGATACCATTTGTCGTTCGTCGTTACTCGCTGGTCCGTGCAGCGAGATCAATTGAAAAACTGAGACCACGTAAGACGTTAACATCTCACCATTCAGCTGTTTCGTTTGCTGCACACGGATGGAAAGCATTCGCTTGCGGGACACGAATGAAAAAAGATAAAATACATAGGCTGCATGAAGAACGGCATTCTTATCCCTTATTCACGCTATTTCCTTCCACCTCAATCACATGTCTTCAACTCGAAACCTGTTATCAGTTACGACCATCCATCCAGATGTCGAACCAATCGCCCCATGTTTCCCCTGTCTCACCCTTGAAGAATCCCTCGGATCCTACGCGGAGGTCGTACAGCTGCATGGCGTTCCAGCCGAGGACGCGCGGCAGGAACTCGTTGTAGGTGATGTGCTCCCAGGCGGCGGTGACGATGCGACGGCCCACCTGACGACAGAAGAGAAATACGTCGGTATGTCAGCCAGCAAAATCAGCGAGTCAGAACGTCAGCACATCATGCATTTCAGCACGCCGGGAGGTGAAATCGTCATGTCTGTTAGATCGCATACTTTGTTAGAGCGTATATTTATCTAAGGAAGGACGCCAGGTCTTATCCATCAGACGCCAGGTCATCGCTCTATCGCAGCACAACTATGTATTTACGCCGGATCAGTTTCTTGCTCAATTATGTTCTCTCCTGTCACTGTACTCCCCCTGTAATCTCTCACCTGGTACAGCTTCTCGTCGTCCCAGTGCGGGTTGACGTTGGCCAGCTGTTTCGCCACCCGGTTGTGCTCGCGGATCCACATGGTGTGCAGCGTGGCCAGGCCCGGCTGCTCAGAGGCACGGTTGTCGCCTGGAAATGGGCCCAAGGTCAGGTTACCGTGAGAATCACATTGTAAACTTGCCGATTATTTCGCCAAATAATCACACATTTTGCTTTGTAATAATTAGCATCGATGATCAAAATTCACACAACCTTTAGAAAAGATGTGACTAAAACACGGTTGATTTTGACTATCACTGACCGGCTCTAAATGCTTCAAAAGAATATTGGCAGCGATATCGAACATTAAGTGTCTATGCCATCACCATACAACTCTAATTCCTAACCAAATTGTCATTCAGCGTAACCCTTTGCCATAACCCACCAGCAGCGAAGCAGGCTCCGGACGGCGCTCGGCACTCCTTGTTATCCCTGGTGGTAGGAGGCAGGCCCTTGGCACCTCTCCGGGAAGGCGTCACCACCAGCCGGCCGCCGTTGAAGGAGCGCAGGGCTCGCGCCTCACACTGCTGCTGACCGTAGATGTGCGACGCGTCCAGGAAGGCAGTGTTTTGAGTCAGCTGCTCACGAGGACCTGGCAGGGGGTGGTGGGTCAGATCGAGACGGGAGTGGAGGTTGATCGACTACGACTGCACAGAGAGGTTCAACGTGTTGTATTTGTGACAAACAGTGTGGATTTATGAGCATTTCCTGCTCACAGAAAGTATTGCATTCCTATCATTACTGTATCTACAAAGCTATGGAAGGCATGCAGGAGAAAGAAATGAATGAATAGAGTTCTGGCTGCAAGAGACATCAAACGAGACATCACTGAGCGTCTATTCTCTTAGAGGAATCTACTGAACGACTGCCTGTCAGAGGGAAAAACGGTGAGCATCAGCTGTCTGAAGGAAACCTTCCACCTGCTGCCTCAGGGCCTCAGAGAGACCTACCGACCGATTGTTATCTCAGCAGCACCCACCTAGCGACTGTTGTCCGGGCAGTGAGCGTGTGAAGGCGATACAGAAGGGTTTGCCGCTACTGACATCCACCGGAGGGAAGTAGGGGTCGTTCTCGGGCACGCGGATCGGCCAGCACTCTGGGTGTACCCGGTTGGCCGAGTCACAGTCGCGACAGTTGAGGATCGAGTCGCCGAAACCTGCCGGTCGTGGGTGAAAGGCGTGAAGACCAGACGGCCTTGCGTTGGACGATTCAGCAACCACACAATGGGAGGGGTGAATCGATATGCGCGTCATAAACAAAATTCACAAAATGCTCGACGGAATCTAGGCTCAGAAGATCATTGCCACCATGCACCATTCCATGATATTTCACTTTTGGTAAATATGGTAGTTGTCCGTCCACCACGCCTACCCTGTACCTACCCATCTGAATAGGTAGGATATCACATGATGAACAACAATCATTATCCTTCATAAGCAGCCACGACCATCTTGCTCGAGCCCACCTTTATGGATGGGCGTCAGACTGATGTCGTGGTCGAGGAACTGTCCAAACTGCATGAGGATCATGGTGTAGCGCGTGTGCGGACTGCTGACGTCGCTGTGCATGCTGGTGGAGATGAGACGCGGCGAGGGCAGCTGCTGACCGGTCACCGAACGCTGACGGGGGCGGCTGATACCTGCCGGGGAGGAAGACGGAAGAATGGGTGAACCAGCGTGCTTACGAGATACAGCGTGCTCGTACAAGGTAGATAACAGGTTTTTCGGTGATGTAACTTCATAATTGAATCTGGTTAATGAGAAGTCATAAATTGAGAAAAAAAACTTCTTTCGGTGACTCAAATTTGCTGAGTTGCAACGTAGCTCATCAGCAGGTTTACAGGAGGCAGGACCATATACATAAGTTGTTGTTGTGAATGAACGGGCATATCGGTGGCAAAAGTTATGTTTTTCTTTAGTTTCAAAGCTGGTTACCTAATACCTAATGAAAAACTAATACGAAAACGTTTCAAGTTTTGATTATAGACATAGAAACCAAACATTCGATCCTGAACTCACCGTCGTCATATTTGGCTGGCAGCAGCCTGTTCTGCGGCATCACCGACTTGCCGTAGTTGGGGTTGTTGAGGTTGTTACAGTAGCCAGAGTAGGTGCGGTAGATGGCAGAGGGGTCGCACGGCACCGTCTCCTCGTCGGCCCTGCGGTGGATACAGAGCGAGACGGAGTATGTAAGGTTACGACGGACATCGGTGACATTGTACTCTTGGGGGAATCGACCAATGACCATACTATAGCCAATAGCCATGCATGCTTCATAATGGACATACATATGAAATTCATAATGTATATGAAATAAATCCAAGGATCATTATCGTCGACGTTGCTGTGTATCATGTACATGAAGTACTGCATATTTTCTTCCATTCAACTGTTTTTAAGTTTGTTTCAGCATATCAGACAGTTCATGGGACAAGTCGTAATAATTGCATGACTTTACTCTAGGTATACTGACTTGAGAACTAAACAAGTGTATTTTCTTAGGTGTTGTTTTTTGCAACACCTAAGGTGTTGTTTTTAGGTGTTAAAGATGACTGATGTCATCACTGTCAACCGTGGAAGCCGTATGGCTACCCATCTACGCTGGAGTACGAAAAACATCATCTCATAAACAAGTGTATAGTACTGAAAGTAATAAATGTGTTAGAACAGACGAAAGCTCAGATAACTAACCGGCACTGTTCGATGATGGGGACCTGTGAGACCAGGTTGGACACGTCGAACTGGCGCAGTGAGTTTCCGAAGCCCTGCGCTCCCTGACGGCCGTTCAGCTGGCTCGAGAACCGCACCAGCTGGCGACGAACCCGGGACGGACTCGGCCTGAGGGGGGAGGGGGTTCAGGTTAGATAAACACCAAACAGCCAGACGGGTTACTGTGGGTCACAGTTGGTCAACAGCGGTCAAACAGGGTCACGGCGGTTACATGGGTCTCGGCAGGTCACAATTGGTCAAATGGGGCCATGATGAGTCACCAACGATGGGTCACAGCATGTAAAGCATAAAGTACTCGTACAGTGGGTCTATTTAAGATCTCCAGAGCCACCACGTGGCGCTACGGTCGGGGTAGGGCGAGTCCAAATCCCGAGGGAAGTGAGGTCACCGGTCATTGTGGGGGAAGGAGGGAGGGGGAGGGGGAGTGACGCGGTATCACGGCGCATGGGGCGTGCGTAGCGCCGGGAGTGGGCCGCCCAGGGCCGCCCGCCACTGCGCCGAGGCTGAGGGGAGGGGATGATGGTTGCGGGTGCGTTCACTCCGGTATGGTGGTATCCTGTTCATGTGGAACCAGCAAGAATGCGACTGAAGGGAATCATTATCTCAAACAAACGGACAAGCGAGAGGCAGCGCCAGTTCCAGCCAAAATCTTGAACAATGATAATTGAAATCTAGGACGCATTAATAGCATGCAACTATTCAGTCGATATTTGCATGATGACAGTCTTAGGCTTTTCTAAAATGTTATTTGAGTTGGGTATTTTTTTCATTTGGCACGTTCAGTTTTGATGAGTTTTATCGGGTCGAATAGAATCCGAAAAGAAAGAGTTAAAATGGCTCCGGAAAAATGACCAAAAATATTTTCTTTAAAAATGAAACTTAGCTAGACATTTAAAGCGATAACTTTGACTTTTTTGAGAGGTTTTTGGGGATGGATGTTGGCGAAAGATGTCATCGTGCTTGTCTGTGTTGCAGTAGAAGAAAAGGTTTTGGTTCGTGTTCGTGAGATAAAACCAGACCCTCCCGGGTCTGTTTTTGTTTTTTAGTCGACAATTCTGTCGACTTAAAAAAGCTCCCGGGAGTGGGGCTCGAACTCACGACATCGCGTTCAGCTCACAGGTTACCCAACCTAAGCGCTACGAGCACCTATCACCCCGCGCAGCTTGCTCAGTGCTACGGCTATAGTTAGGCCAAAGTGTCTGACGTCTGTCAATGTCACGAGGCGAAGCCCCTAGGTAAATGTCCGTCCCGGTAGCTCGGTCGGTAGGGCGTTGGACTCCGTGTGGTGAGAGCGCACGTCCCGGTTGCAAAAGTCCGGGTTCGAAACGCGACGTGTGCTTTACGTTTTTGAGCTCCTGACGGGCATGGTTGTGGTTGGTGGCAGGCCGCTGCCAGGCGAAGTCAGTGAGGGGATCGGCCGTGCGCGGCTATGTGCGCACGTTAAACTTTGGACTCTAACTTCTGCCATAGACCAGGAATTGCTTGATCGGAGGGTAGAGGGTAGGGTCAACGCAACAAGCTCAGCTTAGCGGGGACTCTTTCCTTATGATTCCTTTAATTCAAAAGGTTCGGGCCAAATTTATATTAAAAAAGGGGGAGCCGAACCATGTTGGGTCGGGTTGAACCCGGTTGGACCTCTGTCTTACACGCAATCATGGTCAGAGAAGACAGAGGCCAATTTCGGGTCAAATATTTTTATTAACTGATCTTGTTTTATTAACTGTTCTTTATCTTACACGTATAATAATTTTAAGCTTTTTTTAATCGAGACTTTATGCACAAAAATGTGGCATTCGTCCGCTTTTCCTCATCTCCTCTCAGCGACTTGATTTGACCTTAAATCTTACCAGCAAAAAGTAAATCACCTGCGTGATAATTATTTGCCCAAGGGCGCTCTACGCAAGAAACGCCAGCCGGTCAAAAAATTGGCAAACGATACGATATTTCTGGTGCTTGAATTATATTCAATGAAAATTTCAGGAGACATAAATAATCTTAATCCTTCGGGCGCTCGGAGCATTCGCTAGCATTCCATTGCCAGCTGCATTACCAACATCATATTTGCATTACTTTGGGTTCATCATAGTAGACAGTAGATGAACCGGCCACAGCAAACCCATGCCTCATCCTTTCCTCCAAGCAGCCAAGCTAACCGGCCGCCCGGCCCACCACCGCAATATGGAACAACACTGGAGTGCGCCATTTGCCTGCGGCAGTGCCCCACCGAGCCGGGGCTGTTTGACAGGTCACCCGCACCGTGACCTCGCCAACCGCCCCCCCCCCCCCCCATCGGGCCCAGCTCGGTACTGACCTCCCCTTGAATTTGACATGGACTCGACTGAGGCTCAACGCCATCTAGTAACGTCTGGAGATCCTTACTAGATCCACTGTACATATCCGAGTATCGACAGTTCGTGGGACTTTTCCGATGCTTCAGTAGTTCACTGGGGTCGGAGAATGCTCTACACCCTCACACGAGCTAGCGACGTTCTGCTGACCCGAGCACAGCCCAGGGCCCCAGACCATCAATTATTCTTGCGGCGGCCTGTCGTTTCTGTTTACGCAACTCAGGAACCGAATGAAGGGGTTTCTTATTTCCCCCAACCCTCCAGTAGGGCATGGAAAGCCAGGCCTTCGGCCCGGGCACGGTCAAGAAGTGGTGCATCAGCATCAGCATTTAACCTTCGCCCCAGTGGGGGGGGGGGCATATGTTACCACCCTGTCGCGTTTTTCGCGTGTGAATAAAAAACCGCGGCGCGTAGCGCCGCGCCGCTTGGGGAAACTTTTGGTAAATCAATTTTGGACAATGTGTGAAATTTTTTGACCCCAGGTCATGTCAGGTCAGGTCACCAGGTCAAGTTAACTGACCAAGCTTAAAAAAAAAGTTTGCAATCATGTCCAGCCTGCAGTGTTTGTCAGAAAGGTTTTAAACTTGGTGGATTGCATGCTGTTATGGGCGCCTACAATTTGTATATCTCGGGTTTTTTATATCCGTGACCTAAGGTTAGGTCAGTGGCGTGACCTTTCCATTACAAGTCAATGGAGAAAAATGAAAATACCTCTAGATCCGTGTGTACGCATCGGAACAGTCCAAATATTTCAGAATCACAATGATTTAGTCCACTCGTGATGACCAAGGTGTCATTTTTGCTGATAGCCTCTAGACAGGTCATCCGAGGTCACTTGAGGCTACAAACAGTTTTTTGCCAATAACTCGCGATTGGAAAGAGATGGAACGCTGGGGATGGTCTCATTGTGTTTGTCTTGTTGAGACGCATCGACTGATATGCAACATGATCTTTTCCGGTAAGGTCATGACCTTGACCTGAGGTCAAATTTTCAAGTTGACCTTTCAAGGTCAAATTATAGTTCATTCGACGCGTCTCGGCAAGGGGAACACGATTCTGGCAATAGAAATGCCGTGGCTTTTTGTAGTCGAAAGTTATTGTCGAAAAACACTTTTCGTAAAAACAGCTATTTTTGGAGTTTTTGCCCTCTGGAGGCTAAACCGTGGGGAGCATTCATTCTGGCCAGGGTTCATAATGTCCAGGGTACGATATGCCCAGTGTCGAAATGGCCAGTGCCTTGAATGGGCCAGAGTTCATAATGTCCAGGGATTGCATGGTCCTAATGCGGCCAACTGGCTGCAGATAGGGTATATTCAAAGAGGCCAGGGTTCATAATGTCCAGGGCACAATGTGTCCAGTGTTCGAAATGGCCAGGGTTCATAATGTCCAGGACACGATGTGGGATTACATAGTCACTGATAGTGACGTCATTATGTAAAAAACACGGAACCAGCTCAATGCGAAGCAGTGCAGTGCCGAAGGCAATGCCTTAGGAGAGATTACAGGCAATAGTAAATCAAATATTTTTAGGTTAAGTGGTTATGTATCTGGCTTCAGGCCGAAGGCCTGAAGCCTGATGCATAAATTAACCACTTAACCTAAAAATATTTGATTTACTATTGCTTGCAATCTATTCATGCGAGAAACTATTTCCTTATCCCCGGTAGGCAAACATCATTATTCATTACCTTAGGTTAGGTTAGGTTAGGTTAGGTTAGGTTAGGTTAGGTTAGGTTAGGTTAGGTTAGGTTAGGTTAGGTTTGGTTGGGTTGGGTTGACTATGTAATCCCTGGACACTATGAACTCTGGCCCATTCAAGGCACTGGCCATTTTGAACACTGGACACATCGTGCCCTGGACATTATGAACCCTGGCCATTTCGAACACTGGACACATCGTACCCTGGACATTATGAACCCTGGCCATTTCGAACACTGGACACATCGTGCCCTGGACATTATGAACCCTGGCCTCTTTGAATTTACCCTATCTGCAGCCAGTTGGCCACATTTGGACCATGTAATCCCTGGACAATGTGAACACGGGCCAATTCAAGGCACTGGCCATTTCGAGCACTGGACACATTGTGCCCTGGACATTATGAACCCTGGCCTAAATAATACGCACCCCTAAACCGTTGACCTGTGGTCAATACTGATAATGACCTTTTCAAAAGAAGAGTTCGAAAGCTATCGATTGCTCTTCCATGCGTTTTCTAGCTACCATAATTCCTGAGATAGCGGCATGTTTTCTGAAAAATATAATGACAATTGGCAAATTTTGACCTTTGATGACCTCTGGTGACCCCAATATTGCTCTAAGGTGAAAAATGACCGAAATACTTTCAAACGTACGCATTGAGAGCTATCGACTGCTTTTTACCGCGTCTTTCTAGCCCTCTTAGTTTTTGAGTTAGAGGTGGGTGGTAACGTATGCCCCCCCCCCCCCCACTAGGGCGAAGTTGGCTGAGACCGCCACTGGGGCGCGGGTTAACATCAGCTTCAGCATAGAAAGCTTTGGATATCGGTACATAAAACAGCGCTAATAAGTCGGTAGGTATGCGCGTTATTAGACGGAACAATCTTCAAGACAAGACAGACAGAAGAATCAATCCTTTGAAGTTTGAACTAAGTTAGAAAAATCATAATAAACATGTTGAACCCCAAACTCCGTTTCGTGAGTTGATCCCATTACTGCGACGTGCACACCAAACTTGCATCGCGTGGGTTCACCGAGCAGTGCCTCGGCCGCACCTCAAAGCGATACCTTCAAACCATGACTGACGCCAGCAGGCATATGAATACCCCCGTCCCGCCACAATGCAATGGGTATGAGCACGGGAGCCGCTACTACCGGCTATTGTAGGACCATAAGACCGCCTCGGTACAGCGACAAATGACATTTTGTCAGGGGACGTTGTCGGTACTTAACCTACACACACGGCTGAACGGTCTCATTAGTCAGCCTGGTGGACCGCGATAGAAGTATGAATGCCGATAAATTCATCACGAGGACCGTGCTTGCTGTAATTACGGAGAAGCGGAATATTGATGGCATAAATCGTTGTTATAAATAGCAAGACAAAAACACTATCGGTATCCCCCCTGTCCTAGTTCCCTCCTCACTCAACTCCAACTCATCGACTCTACGGCTCATTCTTCCTCCCTCCCTCCTTGCTCTTCCTCTTTCTCCCTCTCTCTCTCTCTCTCTCTCTCTCTCTCTCTCTCTCTCTCTCTCTCCTCCCTCCCTCCCTCCCTCCCTCTCTCTCCTCCCTCACCACACAACTCACTTCATCATAGTGTGCATCAGTTTCCTGGAGGCGTACTCGAGCAGTAGCGAGGTATTGGCCACCACCAGAGCCTGTTCAGTGGGTCTGCTCTGAGCCAGGGCCGTGCCCAGCGCCGACTTGTGGTCCGCTGACATGTCTGGAATGGACGGTATGAACTGAGTCAAAGGGAGAGGGGTAGGTCATCCGGCGTGAGCGGAAATACGGACGCCTTACGAGCTCTAATGATAGGTCAATCATTGAGCTGACTGGCTATTTTACAGGCTGGCTATTTGGGAGAAGTTACCAAGATATTCGCATGAAAATTATGATGTTACTGGCAGACAAGCATTGTAGAGAAAAAGGCAATGGATGAGCGGCAGATGGAACGATTTTACCAGTTTTACGGTGATGTTATTAGCAGAATGACATGGATACTTTGGCATTAAGTTGTTTATGAAGTCGGAAGAAGGATGATTATTTGTTTGTTTTTTGTTTGTTTTGTTGGGTTAGGCCCTTTCGGTCGACAAGACCATTGCAGAGCCGGAAGGATGATAGGAATTAGGGGGAGACATTGGTCTGGGCAGGCACCCTAGTGAGTCGCCGGGGCTGAGCCCGTCCGAAGACAGGCCACCCAGCCCCAAGGCACTCACTGCACCCGGCTACGGGGTGCGCTCCCTCGGGAGCAGCGGTGCCGCTCCAAGGGAGCAGCCCGCATGAGATAAAGTTGCCTGTCCAGCCCGGAGGAGGGTTGCGGCGTGGAGGAGAAGGATTTCAGTATCCTGAGGATAGAAGCATGGAAAGGTGAAGGATGATTAATACAGAGCTTTTATATATAACAGGCCATTTTCAGACTAAAGTGTACCTATTTGACATGCAGGCTGACAGTGCCGTGCCACCTACCGAGCTCAAATAGAAGCCGTTCTTCGTGCCTCCGCCGCTCGAGGTCGCTCTTGGCGCTGCCAATGACGTCGCCGAAGAGGGGCTCTGGCACGAGGAGTCCCGAGCCGGCCACCTTCCAGGGAAGCAGGTCCATGGCCGGCAGCATATTACACAGAACGGGGGCGTTCCTGTGGGAGGGTAGGGAGTTACATAGGCTCAGAGAAGGGTACCAGCAAGAGGCATCAACAGGACGTATTATACCTACTCTGAATACTGGTTCATGGGTGATGGGTGCTTGCCATTTCAAAGCCAGTTTATGTATAGTATAGCATGGCTGGTGATAGAAAGACCACAAACACGAGAAGAACACGCCAATCACACCAAGCCGCGTCCGCGTCTCACTCACAGGAAGGTGTCGGCCCGCAGGAACGGGTTGGGGGCCACAGACTGCAGGCTGCCCACGTTGTCACAGAGCAGTCGGGACACGCTGGCCTTGCGGATCTCATAGAGCTGCTCTGTGGACGGGGAGTGAGACAGTCAGGATGGGCTGAGTAACAGGCATGACCTAAGAGTGGGTTTGACCGTGATGGCCGTCTGATTTAGACGTTCCCCGTACCTATTATTGATGAAAAGTGTGAGTAGGCAACAATTGATTATCATTGTATTTATCAATTTATTAACAATAATCGATAAGTTATTATTGAAGTCAGTGTTGTGACATTATACTTGCTCGTATGCTTATTGCTTACTTATCGAAATGTTAACCCGCGCCCCACTGGGGTCTGTGTATAACACGCCCTACTGGGGGGGGGGGGCTATTCATAGCCCCCCCTCCTAACTCCGAAACTACTGGACCGATCGTCAAAATTCAAACGGCGTCTGATAGCCCCGGAAAAACTGTCGAGCGAAACCTAATTTCATTGACCTCGAGGTCACCGATGACGTCACAGGTCAGGTCAAAGTAAAAATTATTAGCATTTTGGCTTGTTCACATTTTGGGCTCTGGCCGCCGTCTTACAAGTCAGATCAGGCTCATTTTTGGTTTCCACACTCGTGAAGAGATGCTCTAGATACTTTGAGGGTACCAAACTTGTACTTTGATTTTCAGGTCAGGGTCAGGTCATCACAGGTCACGAAAATATTATATCATGCGTCGGTCACGTGACACATGTTTTATGGTCCATTTAGGCCATAGATTTCGAATTTGATGTCGTCTGTGTCATTTGAGGTCATTTGGAGTCGAATTTCGCTTAGGTCAGGTCACTTTCAGGTCAAAAAAGGTCAAATTTTGAAGTTTACATTTTTCAACAAAAAAGGTGTCTAATGGATGCAGTTTGAGCTCAGGAACACGATGGTGTCATTTATATTGGTGTACGATGTCAAATACGTACTGAAAAATTGATTTGAAAAATTAATAATTGTGAATTTTTTGCAATAATGCGTATAACTTGGCCATTTTTGAAGATATTTAGCTAAAACTTGCTAGAGTTAGTCAACATCATGCGTTCTGTCACATATATTCCGGTTTTTTCGAAAAGTCAAAAACTTTTTGAAAAAAATATAAAAATATAAATTTTGAATATAATTATATAAAATTTTGGAAATTTTCAAATTTTTGAAAATCCGAGATAGCAGTTTGATAGCGCGGTCAATTCTGAGTCCTTTCATGCAAAGAAATTGGATCTAGCTTAAAAACTGAGCTCTTGGGAGCGATTGCCGTGGTTCAATGTTCTGCGTCGAAATCGGACGAACATGACGTCACTCTGACGTCATTTCCGGCCGACCTATGGTACCTACGAAGTTCAAATTTTGACACAAGGTGTCAAATTGATGCAGCCGAAGGTCCTGAAAGTTTGGCGTCGATCCGTCAAGCAGTTTGGAAGTTATTGCAGAAAAACGGGAGGGGGGGCTATAAATAGCCCCCCCCCAGTGGGGCGCGGGTTAATTTGCGTTTATCAATTAATGTGTTAACCCGGAACCGCCTGGGTGGGGTCGGATCCGACCCCCCCCCCTCCGTTTTTCTTGAATAACTTATGAACCGCTTACGCTATCGACTTGAAACTTGGCATACCTTCTCCCCCATCAATTTGACGTCTCCTGTGCAATTTTTAAGAAAAAATTTCCAAAATTTTCTGAGATATATCGATTTTAGTGATGTAACTACATGGCGTTTTCAGTCAAAAAGTGGTAAATGTTTGAAAAATCGCCAAAAATCAGGGTTTAAAGCAAATTGCAAATTAAGGGCATGAATAGATGCAGCTCAACGAGTTCTTTAAAACGGCTATCTCGGATTTTCCATAAAATGCGTTTTTCACCCCTAAAAAATCAAAAAACTATATTTTTGGAAAACAGCTCATAAAATCCAAAATTTTGAGAATTTCCAAAAAACCGGAATATATGTTATAGAGCTCTATTAGAACATTAGATGTCCCAAATTTCAACTTTCTATCTTGATTTTTGACCCCCAAATTGTAAAAAATAGCTCCAACATGCATAGGGCATGGTGACGTCATAAGCATTTTCGTGAATTAGAGGCACTTCTGAACATCGCATGTGAAAACAAATGGCACCACTAGATTCCTGGGACAAAGCTAGTCTAGAAAAGTGCATTTTTATGTCAAAAATAAAAAGTTGAAAAATTGACGTTTTTTCTTAGCCCTCTCTTAGTTATGTATGGTACCTATAAACGATTTTTTATGCTTTCAATGCACACTTATCACCAAGCACAGTGACTTGGGGTCACATATAACCATTACCATCGGATTCGGCGTGAAAAATAAGCCATAAAACATGTGTCGCACGCCCATGTAGCAGAAAGTGAAAACCGTGACCTTTCGTGACCTGACCTGACCTTGACCCGTACTTAGTATGACCCCTATACGCACATGGTACCTTCACTAGGTCTTTGAGGTCATTTTTGGTGAGTTTCGAGCAGCAGCTGTCGATTCCGCTGTCCGTAAGCTTAATCATGCAAAACCCCAGAATTTGACCTTTGACCTGACCTTGACCCGAAAGTTGACCTCAATCTTAAAATCTTAAGAGTGCTTTGGGAAGGTCTCGTAGAGACCTTTCGAACGCCGCCTCGCGGGGCTCGATACGACCATTGGTTCTCGAGATAACAGGGGGGTCGGATCCGACCCCCCCCCCCCAGGCTGTCGTGGGTACGGAAATAGCCCAGGCGGTGCCGGGTTAACAATCAGCATCTGGCTTGTAAGAAGCCCGTTGACGTCATCAGCCTCACCTTTTGAGAGCCCGGCAGGCGGCGTGTCACTCTCATACCAAAAGCGGTCTGTTCTCCTCGCTGTACGGAACTGCTGTCCCAGAATACAGGCGAAGGTAGGGCCGACCACAGCGCCTTCCAGCGGCGACTCGAGCATACCACCGACGAACAGATCAACCTGGAGAGCGCAGAGCCGGTGAAAACTTTGTGGATGGAGGGAAAGGATAGAGAGATATTGAAAGGAATAAGCGTTGAAAGTAAGTGTATATTATCAAGACCGATCAAACCTTAACCACAATTTTCATCTTCACTACGTCTAGCAATTTGTCCCGCCAAGAAAGGACAACCGCTGTGATGATGAAGATGCTCTTTTGGGTTTTCAGGCCTACCTCGGAAGGAGAGCTGTAGAGAGTCCGCAGCAGGTTCAGCTTGTCCTCTGTCATCGTCTTATTGAGCTGGTCGAAGGTATGGGCCTCGGTCAGGCCGCAAAGGTTGCGGAAGCTGCCGTAGCCCGGCAGGCCGTGATCCCTCCCCTGCTGGATAGTGTAGGCCAGCAGGTCCAGGTCCAGCGCTGAAAATATTAAACGGGTCGAATTTTAAAAGCAAGCATGGCTATTTCAAGACGACAAAATGACATGGAATTCATCAACCATTTACGATTAGCAAGAAACACTACGTATAAAGTTACAAACTTATATTGAAGGTCTGACAAAAAAAAAACTCTACCTCCGCCAACTTATTTGCTCGATGAACCTACGCAGCCCGGGTGGCCTGTTCCGCGGCCTGCCGCGGCTCAGGTGACCTTTGCTTGACCTCACGCACCGGTTGGCCCTTTCTGTGACGCGCACCTACCTTCGGTTGAGCTCTCAATGACCCCACGTACCTCGTGTGACCTGTTCGGTGACCGAATCTCCTTGTGATGCGGGGCCGCTGCTCAGCCCCAGCAAGAGCTGATCCAGCCGACCGGTCCGGTACAGGTCAGAGGACGAGAAGAAGGAGTCCGACAGAGGCGTCTGATCCACCTCCGCGCCGTCCTGCGGGTCCGAGGAGAAACACGGATATCAGTAAACGGTATGAGATACAAAACTGCAGGGAATTCCCGGATAACGCTGACGACAATAGTTCCAAAGCTCCTGCCACGCGACCGTGCTCAAACAAAATAGCTATCGGTGAAAACTGATCGGACAAAAAACATTCATAAACGACGGATAAAAAATAATTCCGTTTTTTCATAGCTCGGAAGACAGAATGAGAGCAAAAAATGTACGATTTGGAGAATGCGTCAAATTACAGCAACAAGTTTAGACGTCCTCTGGTCGTTCCCGGCTGACTGAAGAACTAAACTTGAGACTGACTAATAATCCCCCGACTGACCCTGTTCTGGTAGTGCAGCGCGTCTGGCAGCAGGGCCAGGTAGAAGTGCAGTGCCGCGGTGGCAGCGGCGGCCGTCACAGCAGGCTCCTCGTCCAGTGTGTAGCGCTGCTGGACCCCCGGCGACAGCTGGAAGTACTCAATCACCTCCTGAGAACGAAGGGTAGGTGAAGTTAGGATACTGTTCCCATCGACAGATGGAAGGAACTTCTTAATCACCTACTAGGAACAATATGAAATACCGTATTTTATTATGCAAAGAGGCGACAACCACTGGTCTTTAGGAAGAATTGCTCTGTTGATCATGTTGATACGATTTGATCGCCACATTTGGCGTAATGGCCAGCCACGCCGCGCGCTGAATATCCGTTTCGAGTGTTGCGGCACAGTTTCCTATCAGGCGTCGACACTAGCGTCATCTATTGACAAATTCATGAACCGGATAGGTATGTACTGTATAAGAGCTCGTGCCGTTCAAAGTTACAGTTGGTAGGATTCAGTGATCAACATGCATAAGTGGCCGACGTCTGAAAACCACGACAGCATACATCCCACGCACATCAGGAAGCGTCCAATCACACACCCGGGGCGGATATACGGATTCACTTCCTTCCCTGTGTGTTACCCGGTCCAGGGTCGCTGAAAAACTGGCCCCGTCGCAGCCGGTTTGGTCACCAGCTGATGACCGGTCTGGCGGTTGCTCTACTGGTTTGTGCACTGATATGTGATATTGTCGCCGCACTCATAACGTGTTCTAAGCCGGAAAACTTCCGGTAAGATTGTCTGGAGCTCGGCTGATCTGTGCGGCTAAACAAATTGTTTAAGGAGCTTGGAATGTGAACAATGGAAAGGGAATTCGTTTCACTCATTCAGATTTCCACTCATGCCTGTACGTACACTTTTTGTGATCAGTCTTGTTACGAGTTGATCAGAAGCAACCCGTTGCGAAATACCTGTCCATAGGCGCGGGAGCCGGGGGGCAGTGGGGGCAGCTTGCCCCCCAACTGTAGGGCCGTGGGGGCGGTGCCCCCACAACTTTGAGACGAAATACTGCACTTTTTTGCAAATGTTTTTCTTTTTTTGTTGAAAAAGCCAAGGGATGAAAAACAAGTGACCTAAAACCGGTGAGAAAACTAGATTTGGGGGTACCCTAGGTTCATCTCCATTATGGTGTGCCCCCCCCCCCCCAGTCTGAAAGTAGTTCCCGCGCCTATGTACCTGTCCCTGGACAGTGGACAATGCTACAACTATATGAACTGATCTGCTCTTCCAGTAACTATTGCCGTTCTAAACTGACCTGTCACAACACTGTCACTATGAACCCACCCGTCCGCGTACACAATGCTAACGAATAGTGTTTGTCTATTTCAAACAGCCTCAGCGGTTACTGCGTAGAGATGTCAATCGGATACCAACTTTTTGGTAAACCGATACCAAACCGATACCAACTTGGTATTTGGTATTTCAAGGCGAGTGCATTTGGTATTTTGTTGGTATTATGAATCCTCACTAATGTCAAAGAGGCTGAGAATTTGGTAAAAAGGTAAAAAGTAAAAAAGTAAAAAAGGTATTTTCCTCATGTTCCCAAGTCAGTTTGGTTTCGGTATTTTTCCATGGATATTGTTGGTATTTGGTTTGGTATCGGTATCACGATTTTCCGTAATTGACATCACTATTACTGCGGATATGAACCCACCTGCCCGAGCACCGCCGGCAGGAACTGGTTGAAGGTGATGTGCTGCAGTTCGGCAGTCAGCAGCTGCCGAGCCGCCTGGAAGGTGTCCTCGTCACTCCACTGGGGGTTCAGGTCGGCCAGTCCCCCCGCCAGCCGGTTGTGCTCTCGTGTCAGCAGGGTGTAGAGGGCAGTGGTGCCGGCGTGAGTCGCCGCCCGCCGGTCCGCCGCCTCCGGGCATCTGAGGGGGAATATGATGAGGTGAGGAGAGTGACGATTGCTTACACGACCAGCCTGCTCTGCTAGTTCAACCTCTCATTGTAGTTCAAAGTCCCACAACAGCCTTATCAATAGAATAACCATTATCGTACTAACCGATGCCAAGTGTTATGTACTTCATTGATTTTCTGTCATCATGTTCGGCACCCTATATAACAACCTTGCCGCTCTTTCCCAATAGGCGATCCCAGCTAATGACCTTACCTGTCGTGGGGTGAGGAGCACGGCCCGAATGTACCCCGGGGCAGGGTACCATCAGCGTTCAGCCGCAGCTGACCCCGCGAGTACGATCGTACCCGCTTGGCAGTCTGTTTGTCGGTACCATAGAGGGCACTGGCGTCGAGGAAGGCTGATGCCATGTTCAGCTGCTCACGGGGACCTGAAAGGAAGGGAGATGAGATCAAATGGAGACCGTATCGAGACATGTCGAGACACACTCCGGCTACATCACAATAAGTGAATGTCTACCGTGAGGAAGATTTAATACGTGGTCTTGAAGAATGAGCAGCGCCATAAAAACATCTTTTGTTCATGTGTTTGTAATTTTGGATGGCCCTTGAGTAAACTTTCGAGCGTAAAATGAATAACAGAGCCATACATGTTCTGTAAAAGTTATGTTTAGTTTTGAAAGCTAGCACAATACTGTTATAAAGCTGCAACTCCGGCGGATACTCACCAAGACGGCAGTCTGACCGGAGTGAGGGCATTGACCTCTTGTACTGCTGGCAGTGTCCCTCCGAGGTCATTGGCAGACAGTGAGCTCCCGCCGGGTTCTGACAGCACTGCTCCTCACCGCCTGTGAGATGAAAGGAAGGTGACTCCAGGTATTGATATTATTGCACCGTCGAGCATTTTATACTGTGCTGTACTTGCATATGTGATAAGCTCGGTTCGGGCAAACACGATACATTTATGCAATGCACTTAGTGGCATTGACCTTGGTGGCCACTTTCGAGGGCATACCCGTGTGGAGAGGCTGATGCGCCTTTGTGACATTTGATATAGAGATTAGAGCAGTAGGTGGATCGATCGAACTCCATTTCTTGCATACCACAATTGCAAAGGAGCACTCTCGCTGTCCGTGTACCGAGGAAACCACTGACCTTGCATGGGTGAGATGAGGGTCAGGTCATGACTGATCAGCTGACCCCAGACTGGCAGCAGGGCGGTCACAAATTGGTGGTGGTGGGGTCCCGGGTGGGTCAGCTCGCCCGAGAGAGCCAGAGGCGACGGCAGGGCACCGGTGCGAGCCTCCGATATACCTGTCAGGGGGTAGAGGCACATAAGTCACAGCGAAGAAGCATCTAAAGCAACTCAGATGCATCTGTCTGGCCATAGGGGTTACAGGGCTACCATCGCGTCCTCTTATACATTCGTACGGCAGCGGAGATAAAAGGTTACTTTTCCGCAGTGTTTAAAAAATAAGTTCCAAACTGCAGAGGGTTGCCTCGTCAATTTGGTGAAGCAGAGTAAAGCTATCTCGCTGCTTACCGTCGGAGTACTGAGCCGGCAGCAGTCGGGACAGGGGCGATCCGACGCTGCCCCAAGTCGCCTGTTGCACGTTATTGCAGCGGCCATCGAGAGACCTGCCGGTAGGTGGGGTGCGTCAGCAAAGACATTGGCCGGTCAGGGCGGGTCACGGCCCGGCAGGGCTCAATAGAGCGGGGAATATGATTGGATAGTCTTGTGAAACATCGAGGCTATAAACAGACCTCGGAGAGACAGGGAGCTGTGAATTGCCCGCATAGTGTAAATCCGGGTTAATATTAGAGTCTTGGGAAAGGTTGGGTCATATTCCAATAGCGCACCATGAGACTCATGGGCTATAATTATCACTCAGAGCTCAGAGCTGTGCCCCATTGAAGCAGCGTGAAGTCAAAGGGCGGTTACAGCCGATCACATCCAAACGCTCGGCCGGTGTCAATGAAAACACGGGCTTCTGACCGAGCGGCGCCTGTAGCCGGGCCGGGCCGGTCCGGGCCGGGCCGGGCCGGTCCGGGCCGGGCCGGGCCGCTGTCACGGCACCCAGCGCCGGCCCGTGACCGGCACTATTTCGGCGGTCCGGTCACGAATCGCTGGGTCGGACGGCGACGGTCGGCCCGTGCAGGGTCACCGTCACCATTGGCACAGACGCCGCAGCAGCAATATGGAGCACATGGCGAAAGTGCTCAGTCAGCGCCACTAAATTATAACATTCCGGGATGCACATTGTTTGGTAAGCTCCCCTAGGTAACTGTGTGGCGTTGACTGTTCGGGTTTTCGTCATCGCGCATGAGATAACGCTCGCTTTAGGTTGACTGGCCGGCTATATGGGTCACCCGCTGCGCCACAATATACAGTCCAAAGCCATCATGCCGCCGAAATGCCACAAGCCTGGATCCGCCTGTCACTCAGCTGTGCATACGTCATCTTTTAGGAGTCTGGGATTTTCCTGACGTAGAGCTATCTTCTCGATTGGACTGAGCCTTGGCTAGCAACCAGCGGAAGTTATCTAGGAAATTTTGAATTTACCCCGAAGACGTCAGACTCATATGCATCAACCCGCATTAGGGGTAGATAATTCATCCCGAAGACTCAGTCTAGAGTAGACCCTAATGCACCAACCCGTTTTAGGTCAGCGCCATTTGAGGACTGAGGAGTGTATTTGAAGTCGGCGCGTTTAAAGATCAGTCACTGACCTGAACTTGCTGGGCTGGCAGGGAGTCTGGTCGGCTCCAGGACAGTGTTTTCCCAGCTCGGAGAAGCGGAGGTCGACCGATGATAGCTGGGCCGCTGCCGACTCCGCGGGGACGCCGCGACTGAGGGAACAGAGTGATTATTGTTAGCGGTTAGCTGTTAGCTGTCTTTTAGAATGGGATAGTACTTATTTACCTACATCCGATAAGCTCGTTACCTGCAGGTGTAGCTGTCCCTATCAAAGCCTTTAATTAAATATTGCTGTCCCCAGCACTCTAATTCGTTAGGTGCAATGTTTAAATTTACAATACGAGTGCCTAATAATAAATTACGCGTAGTGTCTACCATAGATAACAGTAGAACAGTAGAGATAACAGTAACAGTAGTTCTACTGTTATCTATGTGTCTACATATGTATTTCTTATCATTGAGATTAAAGGCATTTAACCACGTAAAAACAGGGTCCATTACCCGTCCAGAAGCAGTTTGGCGGCGGCCTCAGCCCTCAGAGCCGCCGACACGGCCTGATCGACGGACGGGGTGCCCGGAGGACGGTGTGCCTCGACCCAGGCCGGCGAGGGGCGCGGCCGACCCGCACCCAGGTCTGTCAATGGACAACGAGAGTTAGACAGGGAAGAGTGTGGCGAGAGGTTACACAGTGTTCAAACAGGGACACATGGAGGTCAAAAGGGATAATAAGTAGATCAAATAGTTACCATTGAGACAAACCTCGTCCTAGTTAAACCGAACGAGTGGGAGATCCGACACGAAGACCATCTGTTGACAGGTATGCTGAGGCTGAATGCATCCAAGAACAAAACGCATACAATACAATAAAAAATGCATCAATGTGATAAAGAGCATTCATGAAATGTTGGCGAATACATTCCACTAGCTGCTTCTGGATTGTGCAGTGTCTATGCGTCAGGGCTTTTCCACCGAAACAGCCGAAACGGGAATGGGTTTTCCCAAAGTTCCAACCATCTGACTTGGCACAGGACTTCCCAGTTTCCAGGTAGTTAGATAACTCGAGAAATAGCAGCCACTAATCCTGTCCATTTTCAATCACTTCAAACCAAAAACACATGCGTGACTACCATTGCAAACTTATTATGCCTTGACCATAACCGCAGCCGACATGCTTACGAGTAGTTGAAACGCCACTCGTAATAGCCTCTCGCTGGATGAAGTAGCGGCGACCGTCAAAACTAGCTGAATCATGACTACAAGTGTTTTCTGCAGCGGTCGACACGCCTTCGAGGGAGGTAAGCCAGTCCAGGGATGGCAAATCCCTACGTGGGAGGGCGAGTCGAGGGTCCCAGCAGAGGAGACTTAGGACAGCGACCCGTGTCCTGAGACAGCAGATCACGTCTCGCGACAAGATTTATCAGCCTGGTACAATAATCTACACATCCCTAATCGACATGAAAAAAAAACACAACAAAGTCACATCCTGGGTCAGTCAACCTGTTTCCCGGGATAACCAACCAAGTTACGTTTTTTTGGCACTACCAGGTACTGTCTCGGGACAGCCAAGTCGCGTTCCGTGGCAGCCATGTCGCGTCACAGGACAGTCGATTTTTGCCCCGCGGGGGCGTAGTCCCATCCGGGTGCAACAAAGTCATCATTAGGACAACAAATCCTCTTCCGGGGACAGAATCGAATCTGCGCCTCGGGACATCCAAAGCTGTTACTCAGAACAGCCAACTCCGCACCTCGGAACAGCCAACTCCGCACCTCGGAACAGCCAGCTCCGCACCTCGGAACAACAACCAAAGCCCCGCCTCGGGACAGCCCAATCCCCGCCTCGGGACAGCCAAAGCCCGGCCCGGGGACAGCCCAAACCCCGCCTCGGGACAGCCAAATCCCGGCCCGGGCGGAAGATCTCCGTTCCAGCATGGCCAATCCGGCGGCCAGCCTGGCACGACCGTGAACCGAACCGGTCTGCTAAGGCCGCGGCAGAGCTGTGATTAAGCGCCGGTGATGAGAATTATTACGTGTTATCGCCGTCTATCTGACCGTGAACGGTGCACGACTGAATACCACGGGTGACCAGGGTTGGAACTGAGTGGTGTGGCGTGTTTGAAATGAGTTAGGAGCCCTCTTCGGTCAGATGATGCCGGTTTGCAGGGTGAATAGTTAAGGGTGTTGATTGATGGTGTTTACTCAGGAAATACCTAGCCAATTATTTCTCCGAAGTGGTCGTACATTTTGAACACATTGGAAAAGTCATGGGCTTATCTTCTGCCTGGAAAAGTGCCACTGGAAGAGAAGGGGTTGGATTTGAGATGAATTTATCAACTAAAAAAGTAGCAAATTGATTGTGGGTGATGAGTTGCATTTGTTTACTGTCATCCCACACGAACCATATAGGTATTGTCGAAGAGGTCATATCCTACTTATCTACGCATGAGAGGATGCTGGTCCTCTGTATCAAAGCCTCTATGGGTTCTCTCGACGATGATCGCGAACCCAAAACTAGGTTCAGGTGAGGTAGCTAATAGCTAGTAGCACTGTTAAGTATTTTTCATCAAAATGGCGTCGGAGCGCATCAAAATAAATAGTAACAGAAAAAAGAAAATAAAAGGGTTGCTTGCCGTTGACAATGCCGTCGAATGTAATTCATTTAACAAGGAAAAATCACCATTGTGCTTGAATCAGCATTTGTTTCGCAGTGTGCCAGATTCCATGACATTCATTGGCACAGCTGCAGTTTATGATTGCGTCACTCCTGCCATTGACCTTCACATCACTCACCCTAAATAGGTGACCGAATGGCGCTAATCTGTAAAATACCTAGATCCTTTTGTTAACAATTTAATGTGAAGCCATGACCATTCTCTTGAAGAAGAAAAAAATATTGCAGGATTTGTCATGCTCTTTCGCCACCACCTGACGGTATTAGCAGTTCGCTGCCGTTTCAATTTGCTAGCCTTGTCTCTGTCGAGCGTGCGGAGGTCATGGAGACTGGCAGAAGATGGCGGCAGTGCGCGTCTGCCGTTCTGGATTTCACGCTGATGTGGACCGGTCCCCGTCCACTCGAGACGGTCGGGTTATCCAGTTGAACCTCGCAGTGATCTCCTTTCTTGCCGCGTCACTTCTGACGCTCTGACCGGGAACCAGTCGCTCGTCTGGCCGTCTAGTCGCTAACGGAGCGTTTCAGTTGGACCTGTTCATTCGCCCAGAGAGTCAGACAGCTGACTGCAGAGTGGGAATGTAGTTATAACGCTATAAATATAGGGAATCTGCTTCTAAGCCCTTCTTTTCGACTACCTTCGAACAATATTCGTAATTGATAAAGCCACACGAGAGTGACCGCATGGCTCTGGCGTCCGGCCTTGGTGCCAAATACCAATTCCAGGGAAGCCTAGCCTTGTCCCTCAGCAGGTAGGTATAATGTATCTCATCTCTTTCCCTTCTTGGTACAGGCTTGTTTGGGATTAGTGGAAAGATTCAGGGTCACTAATCAATAAAGGGTCTAAGAATAGCGCTGAATACCCGACATAAATAGCAATGGCTTTTTGTTATGGTAGAGCTGTTGAGCTCATCAACGGGGAATGAAAAACAATTTAATTCAATTGCTGTGATTGGGTTGTACAAAATACTACTCACATTGCACGCCCATTGAAGAAAAATGCAAGAAATTTGTACGATACTTCAACGATTGCTATCAAAGGCAGCGCCGGCGCGTACTTCAAGGAGATCCCCCTTGCGTGTGGCTTCGCTGTTGAGACGGAAGCATTGTAACGGCCGCTGCAAAATCTCTGGTTCACATGCAAGAGGCGTGCCTGGATTTCGGGCATCAGGGGATAAGACTAGGGTCCGGAATGTACAGCTTTGGTGGAGTCGGACGCACCTGTTAACCGGATATTATAGGGTTCACTTTGACCGCTTAGCAGAGTACATCGCTCGGCACCGTCCATCGCCATGTAATCTTACACATGCAAGATCACACTTATATGATGGTTATCTGACGAGGAGAGCACTTCTCAAAGCTAAAGTGGGAGTGACCATTGCTGGGGGCAGCGTCAATTATTAGTGGAGTACCTACTGTACTGTCCTCTGGAAGGGTACGTAGAGCCCATTGCAGGACGAGTTTTTGCCAATCATGCAGTAGAGAAGTAAGAATCATCGTAGGATAAGAGGACTCTTATCTCAGGGACCCAACTAATTGCGAGTATATTGGCATGTCCCTTTCATAAAAGATGGCATTGCCAATGGTCTAAGGAGCACTGCACTGTCCTTCATCTTTTGCGGAGCTGTGCCGATCGCTGGAGGGCCACTGTCAATTACAGGAAGAGCGCCGCTCCTCACAGAAGCCTCTCAGCCTACATATAGCCCCAGTCAGCCACTAATTCACGCGTCTTGATTGACACGGGCAGCGCCCGGCTTCTCACCGCTCCTCCTCACGCGACGGTCAGTTTTTAGCGGCACTGAGATTCATCACGCAGCCGCTCGTGACCTTGTACCACTCCACGCGGCCTGATGAGCGTCAGCTGAGACCGAAGACGACCTATATTTGATGCCCTCCGGGGACCCGCCGCGCCCGCGCCCATCGCCGGCGCGGTCGGCATGAGTCGTCACTTTTTTGGCGGCGCATCTCGGGCGGAGCTATCATGCTAGCAGCGTGTCTTGACAGACGGCGGTAGAGGTAGACAGACCAACCCACCCGGTAGAGAGATGCGTCTATCATTCACTGCATCGCTGATGTGATCTTGTTACTATGAAGGGTTATCTTTCTGTGTTGTGACTGCAGTCTCCCGTGGGACGATTCCGTGAGTTAGGTTTCTGTTCTCCGATGAAGTCACGGCTCAGCGCAGATTTACGGTTATGTTCTTGTTTTCTGATGCAGTCTCTGCAGGCAAAAGTGCGCTTCCAATCCTTTTGTTCTCCGCCGCAAGATACTCAGCAGAAGTAATGCTTTGAAAAGTGCTCTCTTTGATGTGTTTCCGAGCTTGCTTTTTGATGTCCGCATTTTAAAAGCAAAATAATGTAATGCCCGCATCAGCATAACTTTTCAAATGCGTTCAATTGAAAAACGGCGACGCATCCAGGCATTAACATAAATTAATATGACCATTGCGAGTGAATTGCTTGAAATCATTTCGCTGGTGCTCAATACAATATCATTATATAACACAACGCGTTTAATGATTGCGATCACTTAGCTGAACTATCAACGGATTAACTCAAACAAGGAACATTTCACGCCATTTGGACGCCCCAAATCCCATGCACCACATACGCAGACGCCCATCCGAGGCGCCTAACACGTCAGAAAAACCCTGTTCGGGCGGCGCAGATCCTGGTAAGGCTGCTGCCCTGGATGAGTGCGGATCATGCTGGGATGACCGGAGGGGTGGGATTGGACTGGTTCAGGCAGGGTCGCTGGACCGGATGATACTGTTGAGTGGATGGTACCGAGCGGCAGAGCTGGACAGGGAGGAGTGGCCTGGACTGCAGAGTTCAGCGCTGGGAGACAAAGTCATGAACTATAGGGAATAGACACAGGGTCATAGACGCACAAGCCACTTCGCGCACAAGCCACTTGTGCCATATAAAGCACAAGTTATGACAGATTCTCAATCGTAAAGAGATGGAACA